AGGTTCTAACATCTATCCGCTATTTAATCAATTAGAAATTTAAAATAAAATAATATCATTTGGAAAATCTTATTTTCTAAAATTGTGTATTTAAAAAACAAAATTTACTTCAAAAAAATATAGGTCAATTCTAAGGTAAGCTACTAATGTTCACGATCTAGTAGATAAATCAAAGTTGATCGATTTATGTGACAAAACTATTGATTTCTTTTAATTTTCAGTAAATGACCCTTTTCATATAATAATTATTAAGTGTCATTAATAAAAACTCACAATTTTTGTGTTGTAACTACCTTATAAATTGGCCATGCAAACTTTATTGTACCAAACTATATATTAAACTGGTTTATCAATTTATATTTTAATTTGTACACATTGTCTAGCCAATAATTTTTTCTTTTATTTTTTGAAATTAATTGAGATATTAGAGGAAAACTAACTAATTACGACAATGATGATAAACTTTTGATTAATGGTTGTTTCTGGAAATAATCTTTGGTAGATTACAGAGCAGCACAATAGATGTCATCTAATTCTCCATTTTAGGTTTAGAGAAAAGTTAAAGGTGTAAAATGCATATGCAAATCTTTTTCGTTAATAGGATAGGCATGTTATATATTAGTTAAAATATTTGGATATAAGACTCAATTAACCTTGTTTTGCATATCTGATGTTAATTTTTATGTTTTTTTTATTTAATTGGTTGGTTAATTGGTTAATTTCGGACATTTTAAATTAATTTTTTTAATTTTTTAATAATATTATTATTTATTAAAAATATTTGAGAGAGTATGCCTTTTTATTCACGTTCTCAATCAATTCTTTGAGCTTCTATTAAATATTGAAAGAATGAGTTATTTCGGATATATATATATATATATATATAAAAGCTGATATCTTTACATGCTTTTAACATTGTTTACTGAAAACAATAAGTGTAAAAATGCATGCGAATAATTTTAAAATATAATTGAGGGACAAAAATATAAAAATTATAAAAAATTAATTATGCATCATAAATAAAAGTACAGCAAAGATAAAATTCTTTAAATTTTGTAATAAAATTTATTTATTGAACTATATTTTTAATTTAATTAGATATCAAAATGCAAGGAGAAATGTTCTTATTCTCTTTCATATTTTTCTGGTACCAATATCACCTACATGCCTGCAATTGGAGGGATGTTCTCTTTCAAATTCAAAATCACCTGACCCAAATTGGAGATTATTTGAAGAGTCGAAATTACCTGCCATTGCCATTGTTGTAGCAGTGATGATTCTAATTTGTATGAGTAGGCCTTTGAGGGTTCTTTTGAATTTTGTTTTATCTTAGAAAGATAAACTATTGATATATAGAGTTTGGATGATACAATAGAGTTTTTTAGTGGGGTTCATGATTTTATTTGGGGTACAATACAAATAGCCAATTTGTAGAGAAATAATAATTGATGTATCGGTTTAGACTCGGTATGGCTAGTTCATTGAACTGCCGGTCATGAAATTGCAACTTCAAAATTTTTAAAATGTTGAATTTGAATTAGCCCTTGAACCACTAATTTTGGTCTGATTTCAGTATCAATCGAGTCCAATGAACCAACGGTGCTGATCACGGTTTCTTGTGTTAAGCGTATTATTTTTTCAAAAAAATAAAAAATAAAAATTCAGTTTTAAGATTACATCTTTCTTTCAAAAAAATTAATTTGAGTTAAAAAATATAGGTAAATTTTATTAAACAATTTTAGAGTATTCATACTCATATAAGAAATAAAATTAATTTTCACTCAAAACAATAAATAAAATTAATTAATTTATAAAATAATCAAATAACTATCATTTTATTTTGTCTAAACATTATTCGTTAAATAAATTGTTAGAAAAATTTGAAAAATGCTTCAAACAATATAATTTTTGAACTAAGTGAACAATTTAAAAGGAAAAAAAAAAACATTAAACTCCCACTTGTATCAAACTATATAATTTCAGACTAAATATTTTACTTTTTTTTACCATTTTACTTTTTTAGATTTTTAACTTTTTAAATAAAGTGTATTTAAAAACAAATTAAAGTGTATCATATAGTAAAAAAATATTTAGATTTTTAAAGGTGTATAGAATAGGCTAAGCGATTATAATTTTAAAAATAAAAATAGAAAATTTCTGATTCGAGCCAGATTGAAACCATCGGTTAACATTAATTCCGAATCGATTCAGGTTCAGATTTTAATATTCACATGAACCTTAACTAGTTTTTGAATCGCCAGTTTTAATTCAAAATTTTAAACCAATGATTCTAATTCAATTCCGATTTATGTACATTACAGTTTAATTCTAATTCAAATTGAACCGGTAGCCATTCCTAGTTTAGAAATATAATAAAGTTCTTTAGCCGCCGTTCTTGATTTCTTTTGGGTATAAGCATGTGGAGTAGTTTGCACCATCAATCAATCTCATTTGCAAATTCTAAAGCTTGATGTTTGATTCAGGCAACATTCTAATAAATGTTTCCATTCTTCTATTTTTAGTTTTTTATTTTATTTTTTATTTTTTTTATTTTACCACTCCATACAAATAACAATTCTTCTATTTTCTCTTTCTACTGAATGTTTGCTTTCATAGCTTCTTCAGTCTTTCAACTGCTCAAGATTAAAATGTTTCACATTTTTCCTTTTTGGTTTAAGAATTCTAGCTGTTGAATATTAGCACTCCAATTTGTACCCAATAGAGAAAAAAAAAAAAAAAAAAAAAACATAGCTTCTCAAGTCTTTCAACTGCTCAAGATTAAAATGTTTCACATTTTTTTCCTTTTTGGTTTAAGAATTCTAGCTGTTGAATATTAGCACTTAGCCAATTTGTACCGCAAAAAAAAAAAAAAAAAAAAAAAAAAAACGCAATTTGGACTCTTTTGATTTTTCTATCACATTTAATGCGAGCATTCGACAATTTAATTAATAAATTAAATTGATATAATTCTATTTTTTTAAAATTATTTTAATTAATCGGTTCAATTTGATTTATGCTTTTAAGAAATTTCATTCAATTTTTTTATTGAAACCATCATTTAACCGAAGTGATCAAAATCAAGTTTTTACAAATCATTTTAGTCACCATTCAACAATTTTAATTGAAAAAATGAATCGAATAAATTTAATTCAGTTATTTAAGTTAATAAAATTTTATAACACTATATTTTGAAAGCCCAAATATTATTGATTCAAATTGGCCAAAACTGATTAAATCGAACTAAACAAAATATTACTGGTTCGATTTATTGCAAGTTCCTAATAACTACAGTTGAGTTTCATATAAAAAAATATGATTCCATTTTTCAGTTTTGTTATTTTGGTTCCTTTTTAAGTGGAATAAAAAAAAAAGACTTATATACATTCAACGTATGAATCCAACCCATGCACTGAATCAATTAAAAAAAATATTTTAATTTAGATAAGGGTATTTTTAACCATTCACTAAAAAAACATAATATTTTTTAAAAATTCTTTAATTATTTATTTAGCATATGAGTTATCTTATACATTGAATATAGATAAATCTTATACCTAATCATATTGAGGTTTTGAACTTAGGTATGATAAATAAGTAATTAAAAATAATTAATTAATTTTTAAAATTAAAAAACAAAATGTCTTATTTGATCTACTTTGAAAATTTTATTAAATATTTTGAAAAATATTTTTCCAAAATTGGGTATTTGGAAAAACAAATTATATAAGTTTTATGCTTTTTGCCGTTAGAGGTTAGGTTTGGCTGAATGATTGTAGGTGTTAAATTGTTTAAAGGTCACCGAAACGGCGTGAGTTTGACCTCTACCAACTTCAATTTAACCTTTTTCTTTTTTTTTTTTTTTTGAGTCATTTTTTTTTTCACTGTGATTTTCTCTAAAAGTATTAATTTTTTATACTGAAACTTAAATTACTAATCACCATAAATTAGTATTTCATATGAATGTTAATGCTATCTTATGATTTAATTTGAAAAAAATATGAATAAATACTTTATTTACTTATGATTTATTAGTCATTATTAATATATATAGGTCTTCAAATACAACCAAAAAATATAATGTTTATTTTTATGCAAATAATTACGTAAAAATAAAAAAAAATGATATAAAAATTTTTAATACATAATAAATTAAAATTTAGTTTATATGTTAAATAAAAATTTAAAATAAATCAAAAGAAAATAATGTTTTTCTTAACAGATAATTAAATAAAAATGATTTTATATTATGAAATAATATAACAATAAGAAATTAAGAAAAAGAAAGATGTATTTCTAAAAAAAAGGGAAAAAGAAAAAGAAAAAGAAAAGGAAAAGGAAAGATGTTCATCTTTTTTTTTTTTATTTATGGTTTTCCAAAATTTGCCATAGAAATTTATAGTTGAAGAATTATGGTTTTGAATTGAATGATAAGTAAGGGGTATTCAAAATCTAAACTATTCTAAAATCATGGTTTTAAGTTTAGTTCAATTTAAGATTTCAGGGCCAAAATGCCAAAATTAAAAACAATCAAACCAAAATATAAATAATTAATTATTTTATAGTACAAAAACAATCAAAGCTTTAATAATTTTTTATTTTTAAATTTTTTATAAGTATTAAAAAAAATTATTAGATGAAAATTTTCATATTTATACGGTTTAACTCTTAACCATTATAGTTTAACAACAATTTTTTTTATTTACATTAAAACAAATTCATTATCCTTAGATTAGATAAAATAAAATTCTGTAAGAGGGTGAGGTTGCATTATTCATTATAAAATATTTCATTTATTTATTTATTTTATATATTTTAACTATATAAATATTGATGTAATTTTTTAACTGTATAAATACTTAACTGCGGTAACTAACGGATCATTGATTTACTTTAAGTAAAAAAAAAAATGTAGGACTATAAGGTAAGCCATTAATGCACACAATGTAGGAGATAAATCAAATTTAATCATGATTTTGTTATTATAAATAAATAAATAAATATATTTCTATCTGGACAGGACAGTCAACAGTGAACACCCTCCTTATTTCTCAATACATTACTGGGTTTTACTCTTTTTTAGGGCTTGCAAGTTTGAAACCATTAAATAATATCCAAGATTAATCTAGGGCTTCTATTCCTCCTTCTTCGTTGAAGCTCTGCTTTACCAATCTAATATTCATCCTTTAAATCTACAAGCCATGGACCCGCAAGACCAAGATACGGTTCCTGCGGGAGAAACCAACGATGTTAATTACACCGACTACGCCCAAGATAATAAGTCTCAATCTCACACTGGAGATGGAGCTAGTCCTGGGTAACTCTCTTTCTTTCTTGCCTATTGTTTGTTTCGGGGGGAAATACATATTTTATCTGTTTTGTGCTGAAATTAGGCTTTTTTTTTTGGTTTTTTTGAGATGGGTTATTCATAAGAAAAGGTGGGTTAATTGTTTTCTTCTATTTTGTGGTAGATTTTCCAAGAAATGAAATAGTATATCCTTTTTTTTCCTGTTAAAGCAATTTTGATATTGTTCTTGGGTTTCAATATTAGTTTTTTACTTGAATTCATGCTGCCCTTTTTATTTGCCCAATTATTGTTCTTAACTTCGATGAGAAACTTCAATTTGACTGACTTGTTTATTTGACTAAACATAAAATGCTGCAGAAAGATTTTCATTGGAGGTTTGGCCAGAGAGACTACCTCTGGTTAGTTTATCTTGTGCTGAGTCACTAATGCTACCCTTCATTCAAGAACTACTTTCGGTTTTTTATCCCTTTGTTATGATTCTTTGTGCAGCACAATTTGTCAAGCATTTTGGCAAATATGGTGAAATTACAGATTCTGTTATAATGAAGGATAGAAAGACTGGCCAACCTCGGGGGTTTGGATTTGTGACATATGCAGATCCCTCAGTTGTTGATCAAGTTATTGAGGATACACATATTATTAATGGGAAACAAGTAGGGTTAAGTTTGATTTCAATTTTGCAGTAAACATTTGATTTTCTCTTCATAATGAATAATGTTGTCTTCATTCCTTGGTATGTTTTATTGATTTTCAGTTTGGTCTTTGAATTTCACAGGTGGAAATCAAGCGAACAATACCGAAGGGAGCAATGGGATCTAAGGATTTCAAGACCAAGAAAATTTTTGTTGGTGGAATTCCTACAGCTGTGACTGAAGGTAATTTAAGTCTTTCAGCACTTATATTTTTCTCTAGTTTCATCACAATGACGGCTTTGATAATATGTATGGAGCTATGGACAGATGAGTTTAAGGAGTTCTTTACACAATATGGAGAGGTCATTGAACATCAAATCATGCGGGACCATGCCACAAATCGCTCTCGAGGCTTCGGGTTTATTACATTTGACTCGGAACAGGCAGTAGATGACCTTCTGGCCAGGGGGAATAAGCTTGATCTGGCTGGAACTCAGGCAAGTATTTAGTAACATTGTAATAGTAAGAGCAATATCAAGTTGTTTTTCCTCTCTTCCTAGGCTATTACAGATGGTATTTATTTGTTTTTTGTTTTTTATTTCTTACTATTGTCATTCTTATATCTACAAGCGAAGAGCATAATGCTTGTGGCCATACAACAGTTTTTTGTTGATGCTCCTTCTAAAGCCAAAGTGTGAATAGAAATTCCAAAGGATTTTCAAAGACCTCAACTAAATCCATTATACTTGGCTCCATGACAACAGTTTTTTGTTAGTGTTACTCAGAAATTTGTATAAATATAAAAGTCTTGGTGAATTCATTTCAAAGAACTCTGTAAAACATATTATCTCTAATATTAGGTAAATAATCTTCTAAGTGAATGTGTAAAGTCGTATGGTTTTAGAATCTCATCAACCATATCTTTGTTCAGAATTTGGTTGCTTTATTGTTTTGCATGGATTTATTATTTTATTGCATAGATAGTTCACCTAGTAAGTCTTCTAGTGGAATTATTCATGATGGGTGTATACTAGTACTTTGTCATTCAGTTTTAGTTTTAATTTTTATCTGGATGATAATGATAATGATAATTTAAATATTAGAAAAAGGAGCTTCTTTCTGTCAGTATTAAACCTCAGGGTGAATTCATGCTAAATGTTGTACTTACTTCAATATAGTCACAAATCTTTAATTTTTATATTAATTTCATCATCAAATTTCTATTTAGTTTCATTTGGACCAATATCACCAGTATCTGATAAAAGTTTTTCCAGAAAACTAACGTGGCTTTTGGTTCATAATCATCTCCTTTTCCTCTTAGCATATGTTAACTTTGAAAAGCTCAAGTTTATGTCCTTTTCCTCGATATGGGCCACACATAAGCTTCACGGGGTCTTTCATCTTGTCCCAGTCTCTTTGATTTTGAGACTAGATTGAAGTTTGTTGATCAAATTGGTAACAAATTGGAGATCATTAACAAAAATAGAAACAAATACAGCTAGCAACCCTGTTTACAATCGTCAACACTAATGATGCCTTAATTATTTGCTCAAAGATCAAACAGTTTGTCATAGCAAAGCTGATAGAATTTTTCACAGAAATATTTCTGATTGGTTTTGAACCGCAATTAGGGAAGTTAATGCTGATAGTGAAATGCTAGATATCTAGGTGTTTAAGCAATTGTAAATGAACTGAATTTTGTCAAAAATGATGCAAAAAAGCCTTAACATTGTAAATGCCCACTGCGCATTGTTGTATTATGTTTATGACAATTAATTGATATTCTATGGAGCAGAAATACGTATTGAAAGAAGTTGTTACTCATCAGAGGAAATAGTTAGGTCCCAGAACCAGAATTTCTTCATTAACTATTTGGGAGCCAACTATATCATTTTTCTTGTCATCCATGTCTTGTGTATATGAAATAATATGTTATAGGCCCATATGCAGATAACTAGGACTCTCAGAGAAGAAGTAAACTTTAGCAAATTAAATTCTTCTACCAGTAAAATTTTGTAGATAATTATAGAATAAAATTATGTTCATGCATTATCTTTTCTGTTTTTTCTTTTTTGTAGGTGGAGATCAAGAAAGCAGAGCCAAAGAAACCTAACCCTCCGCTGCCACCGTCAAAGCGTTATAATGATTCAAGGCATGCATTTGGTGGTGGATTTGGTGAATCATATGATGGATATGGAGGCAGTGGTTTTGGCAGCGGCGGCGGCAGCGGCGGCCCTTATAGGTCTGGTGGGGCTTATGGAGGTAGAGCTAATAGTTATGGCGGATATAATGGGGGTGAGTTTGGTGGATATGGAGGATATGGGAGCGGGAACATTGGTGCTTATAGAGGAGACCCCTCCTTTGGGTATTCAAGTCGTTATGGAGGAGGCTTTAGCAGGGGTTATGATTTAGGTGGTGGTTATGGTGGCCCTAGTGAGGGTTATGGCGCATATGGTGGTGGTGTTGGTGGTGGCGGTGGTTCTGGCAGTGGTTATGGAGGTAGCTATGATAGTGGGCTTGGGGGTGGGTATGGAGGTGGTAGTGGTGGTTCTTTCTATGGGACTAGGGGAGGATATGGTGGTGCGGGTGGCAGTAGGTACCATCCTTATCGGAGGTAGAAGTTGGGTGTAAGGCTTTTGGAATTATAAACTGTAACGGCAAAATTGTCAGAACTGTAGTTTGAGTTCTAGTTTGTCAATTCAGTAGCTTGTAAGGTGGTTAACTAGGATTTTTGTCTATTTAAGGCTTAAATTACTATCTTTCTTTTTCTTTATCAAGATTAGGAGATTTAAGAGTTCCATTTTTTCTCTTTTGTTGATTTGATTAGCATCCTTATTGTGATTGTTAAAGAAGACTTGAAAATACAGATTGCCATTACCCATTTGTTTGTATTGTTAATTGAAGCCTCCATAGGTTTTTTTTTTCATTTCTTTTGCCTACCTCTCTCAATAATCAAAGGTCTATAAGAATACCTAACGCAATCAATTGATGTTTCAAATTTTATTAATTTAATATTTACTTGTGCAGGGGGATTCTAATGTGCATAATTTTCATTCTCAACCATTAGTTAGTTAAGGGTTTAATTATAACAAAAACGAAAATTAGGACAAAATTTATAAATTGAGGGACTTAAATAATTAACTCTAATAACATTGAATTAAAACTAATTGATTAAATTAATTTTTTTAAATAAGATCTAAAACTCAATTATTAAACTAGCAATTCATAGGTATGAATAAAAATATGAATTTTCAAACAAAAAAAAGGTATGAATAAAAATATTTTGTATAGTCTGAAAATGAGAAAAAAATAATATTTAATGCATTTTAATGTAAATTTTTATGCTAAAAAAACATACAGTTGAGCAGACGAAACAAGCTTAGATTACTAATGTTAAATTTCTCCTTGGTAAAAAAAAAACCTTATCACATGTTTCTCCTTTTTTTTCTACAAAAGAAAAATTCGTTGTTTATCTTTTTTTGATTAAAAAAATAAAATTTTCCATTAAAGCAAAGAAAAAAAAAAATCTGAAAAAGTTCTGGCTTGCGTTCTCCCTCTCTTTCCAATCTCACGCGAAGAGTGAAACTTCGCACGGAGAGGGAGAGAGAAAGAGAATGGCAATGGTGTCGTGGAATCTTGGAGCATATAAATATAAGAAGGTGCGAGATTCAACAATTACCAGAGGTTTCTTTGTCAATTTTTCATTTCTTCTACTCCTTATTTTCTCATTTTCGATTTGTTGCATTTCTTCTACTCCTTATCTTCTGCTCCTCATTTTCTTAACCAATTAAAAATCGTGGCAGACATCGGTTCTAAATATATGTTGCAGAAAGAAGGAACGAGACAGGGATCATTTTCACCCTTATAAAGTCATTGAAATTACGCCTCCTCCCAAGAATCTTGGCATCCGCTGCTTTCCTCCAGTAAGTCTTAATCTTACATATGGCCATGTGCTAATCTTGATTATGCTAATTGTTTGCTGTTGAGAATCAGTTGATTGTTTAGTTAATTAATTGGTTAATGATGGATATGTGCTAGAGTTCATTTCATTTTATCAGTGATTAGGAATGTAATTTCATATCTCATGACGCTTTTAGTGACATTATTAGTAGTTAATTAAGGGGAAAAACTTCTAATAATATAGGAAAAAATGTGGTGTGAGCAAGTGTTGCTATTTTTGTTTGATTAAGAAGCTGTAAATTTTTAGACTATGAAAGCTTACTTAGATAATATAACCAACAATTGCAATAAAAACTGGCCAATTATGGTTTAGGCAGGCATGGTAAAGAAAACAAGGTTCTCAAGAATTATTGCAGGCAGCTATCTTAGGGAGAGGGTAACACTATTGTAGTAGTGGTTGCATGAACTTTTGACAATGGAGCTTGCGCTTTTTTCATTTTATAAATTCATATTGATGAATTGCACCACAGCCTGTCAGTCAGATTCCTCTATCACGCATAAAATGGAGGTTCCAATGCAAAATTCAAGCCCTTCCTCAATGCTTGTGTTTCCATTAGTTTTGTTAAAGTTACAGCTACAGCTATTGATGCAAGTGTTGTTGACAATTTTTGGAGGTATTTTGTTAAAGTCATTTAGATTTTGTTGTATTTTGTTGAGTGTAAATTTTTAAGAGCACTATAAAAAGTCCCTTTTACTTAGACTAGAAGTCGCATAAGCGACCAACAATTGGGCAACATAAAAACTGGCACATAATTGATCGGTTTACCGAACCGTACACAGCATAGTATAAGCGCGAAAAAAGGTTCTAAGGAGTTATGGCCGGCAGCTATCTTAGGGAGAACGGGTAACACTAATCTGCGGTAGACGGGCAGTGTGTGGTTTGCAAGTGACACCCTCTTTTGAGCATGGAGCTGCGGCGCTTCTATTTTTCATTTTACATTGTCACACTATCTTATTGTATATTGCTCACCAATCGCCTGTCAGTTCTCAACGAATTCTACATCTATATCACGCATAAAAATGGAAGGTTCCAATGGCACATATACAACAGCCTTCACTCTAATTGCTGGTGTGCGAGTGAAGTTTTGTTTCACAAGAGACTACACGATACAGATATTGGAGTGCGAACAAGACTAGTTATCTGATCATAAACGAGAGATATTATGCAGAGAGTTAATATCTTTGTTTAATATATAGTCCATTTATAGGAGAGCGTATTTTTGTTGTATTTTGTTTGAAAAAATCAAAGAGGTAGGTGAAACTATCCTAATTTTTACGCGCTCTTTAGTAGGTTTGGTGCAAACTAAACATGCCTTGACTTATGGAGGTTGGTGAACCCAAACTGTAGAAACCTAGCTCTACCTAATAAATGTGTACTTAAAAATGCAGTAAGTAGTGGAAATATTCTAACAGCACTTCATGATTTTTTTATCTTCATACACATCAAAAAACCTTGCGTTATTTCTCTTTTCTGCGAAATTTCTTCTCTTCCTTAATTTCCTCAACCACTCTGTTTCTATACCTCAAAACAAGCGTGACCAGAGAGCTCCTTGATACAACCAGGGCTGTGATGTGTGGTTTGAGTGAAAAGTCATAGAAGCAATAACGCCACAAATAAACCCACAAATACGAGTTGAAATGTATGTCTATAGTTTATTATATTTGCTTTTATCCCTTCAAATGGGCTCCGTCAGCAGCAAATTATGGCATACTCTCACACCACACCTACTTATTAACAGAGAGGGGAATAACTCTATATTCGAATAGTAGTCATGGAGCTCTAGATTGGAAGATGAGAAAAGTTCATACAAGGGGGCTTTTGCATTAGGATGACAGTCATGAATAGGCCATTAAGAAAGCTACAGTACCCAAAAAGCTTGCCGCGCTCCTCGTTTATATCTCATTATAAATCCTCTACTACCCTACTTCAGACACCTCACGTATATTTTAAGAATCGAAACTTCCACCCACTAATGTTTGCTACACTGATCTCAAACAAGCATCTATGTCCTAAAATCTCCACTTACAACTTATCTACAGCAATCCAGTTGCTCAGACTACTTACTTATATCAGTCACGCACGCACCTAAAATTAATGACAATGAGTAAACAGCTCAACATGAAGTTTTGGGAGAAGTATCAAAAAAAATTGAAGTAAATGTCAAATGGATCTTGCGATAGAACACCTAGGAACGAGGTAAAATAGCTAGATATTTAATTTTAAGATATAACATAGAATTTGAAATGTTGGAAAATGAAGGTATGACAAATTGTTATAACATGATTTGATGTTTTAGGAATAGAGTAATATGAAATGGTGTGAGAAACCCCAAATTTTCGATATTAGTTTGGGGGAAGAAATATGTGAGAGAAAGAAATTGGTAGAGAGGAAAGTATTATGGAGAGTGAACTCTGCCAGCCTGAAATATAAGTTTGAAAACCGCAGAAGTAGAATTCTTCACTCTGAAGAGAAAATAGAAGCCATGTAGATCAAAAAATTGTAGGTAACCCATTGAAAGTTGAGCTTTCAAAATGCTCCTAACAAATGGCATGTTAAGGAGATCATAAGAGCTATAAGGGAAAGAAGAAGAGCTCAATGGAAGAGAAAGGCTTCTTTGCGATTATGTCGACTCCACACACCAAAAATGTATAAGCAAAAAACAGTATTAAATATAGATGGAAGAGGAAAGATTAAGAATTTCCAACTTGTCCACAATTGCAAAAAACAAACTCAACACTGAGGAACTACTAGCAACTTAGCTAGAGTATCAGACCTGTGAGAACACCAAATGTAAGGAGATTTGTAAGCAATTTGGTCACATCATTGTCAAAGGAGGCTATAGACTTAAGTTAGCCCAAGGCTTGTTCTTTTAATTGCCATTAAATCCTAATGGTCGCTTAACAAGCTTTGCTCTTTTTGCTCTCAATCAATGATACAGTCGGGCACTAAATAATCCCATTCTAACCTGCGCAACCGGCCGGTGGTGGTTCAAATAGTTTGTCTTTCGTACCCACTCACGTATCAAACCACAAGCCATTCAGCACAAGTCACCGAAAATTCTGAGGATGAAGACACAACTTTGGCTGCAGAATGCGAAAAAATGTGAATGTTTCAATTGAAACTAAGAAAGCAATGGCTTACTTATGATCTAGCGGGAGTCTCTCTCAATAGCCACATGACACCAAAACTTGGTGAAATTCGATACATGGAGAAGCAAACATCAATTCCCGAAAAAGTCACGAATCTGGATGAGTGTAGGGCAAAGACTCCGTAGCTTCGAAGCTGTCAAGGGGCAAAAAGGGAGATGTGATTGTACGAACCACCCTTCAGGTACAAATTAATAGAGTCTTGGTTTCCTGTGAAATGTTCTCATTACGTCTCTATGGTATACTAATTTACAAAGCTTGTGATTTATTTCGTGTGTATCATATTGCTTAGGAGATATATGAAAAATTCATAAGTATTTATTTTGACATATTTAATATAAGATCTATTTACTTGTTGAATCATATTAATTACATTTTTGGCTCAAGTTATTTGCTGATGCGTCTAAAATGAACTGTATATTTAGCTATTCTCTAAAATTAAGAAAATTCGAAATGAAATAATCTTAGCACATTGAGATTAAGAAAGAATCTAGAATTTTTTGTGTGCTATTAATAGAGGACATTAGGTCACACCAATCCTCATTCATTAAATTGCTAAATCCTCAAGAAGTTAGTTATGCTTGATTTGCCATCTGTAGTTGATATATATATACTAACATGTAATTCCAAAAGTATACACTCTACAGAATTTTGAATCCTGTTACTAACAAGTATATGTCAGAGCAGTAGAAGTGTCGCAAATTTTGATGTGAGTAATATGTGATGAATTAGTGAATTTAGAGGAAGTAAAAAAGTAACCTTAGAAAAACTATCTAAATCAATTTCTTGTATATATTATCATCATATCAACGAAGCAAAACATTCTCAGTTGACCAAAAGAAGGAGGAGAGAGAGAAATTAAATGGAAATGATTGTATAGACTATAGTTAGAGAGAGGTAAACTTAGATATCAGCCTAGAAGGAAATTTACAGCAGATGTTAATGTGTCTCACTTGGAAACGACCACTCAGGTGGATGCAAAGCCTTAAATTGCCTGAGAATAAGCTGCCAAATTGGAGGAGAAGTAAGTTTGGAAAAAGATGATTATAGAGAACGAAACATGGATTTAGTTTCCTAGACCATTGAATAAAGCATGTAATTGGAACTAAATGGGTAATAAATAACTCATATATTTGAGAGTATAAGATTAATATTCTGAAATGGCTCCAGTCATATAAAGCACAGCAAAAAGAATATTTGTTAAAAGGCTAACGCCTCAAATCAGCAAGGGGTTGATTTTCCAGAAACCTTGCAACAGTTGCTAGATTGAACAGCTATCAGATTGATTTGGCACTAGCAGCAAGTTTGAAGGTTGGCAAGTCTTCAATTGGATGTGAAATCAGCTTTTCTTATAATGGTATATCTAATGTAAGTGAAAGATAGTATAGTAGTATTTGAGCACAGCCTGCAGAAGGAGATTTAATAAGAAAGAATTAGACAATATGGAGATGTGATGTTTGTTTGAAGTAAAGCTATACTCTAAAAGTAAAGAAATAAAACAGGCCCCAAGGGAGCCTGATAATGTCAATTTCATAAGAATTGTGGCACAGATTTTGAATCATTTTATATTGCAGTAGAGAAATTTGCGCTTTTAAACTCCACGAGCACTCATATGCAATAGCCACGAGACTTTACATACTACAATGCAGGATGGATTGAGATGAATGCCTTTGACTACACTTCTTAAACTGTGATTATTCGATTTACTAGTGAATCTACTTGGTAAGGTAACAATTTACAATAATTCAAAGAAATTCAGATTAAGAATGACAGCAGGTTTTTTTGAGAATGAAATTAGATCTTATGGCTAAATGATGCTATATTTATCCTTGGGATTGACAATTGCTTCACAAGAATGAAGCAAAGGGATTTTATTTCATCAATATAGTAATGTCTTGGGAGCTGCTTAAAGGTTTGAACTTAGCAAAATGAAACCAAGTGAGTAACACCTACAGCCCATGGAATAAAAATTGCAATAAAAAAGGATTAGATGGTTTCTCACTCTAATATAGAATGCTTCAACTTATAGGAGCATGTTGGTCTTTGCCTGTTTTTAATCTGATAACAAGACCAGATTATCATAGTTTGTCAACAAATTTACTAGTCTGAGATTCATGAATTTCAATGAAAACCATAGCTTACAGCACGCTAAACTCGATCACAGAGTATAAACTGTGCGAGGAACTGGGCCTCTTGCGGAAGGCATTTCGTTTTGTTTTTGACTAGAAAGATAAATATGGTGGCTTGGCGTTATAAGTGTTAGTGGTCTTTATTTATCATTTGTTTAAGTTTTCATATAACTACTTAAGTTGAAATTTGGAGTACTGTTCATTGAGTACGATAATAGTATGAGCAACACGGTTTTTATATTTTCCTTGGATGTACTTGGTTACTTGTCACATTTGTCTGCGTGGAATAATACAAGAAAGGACAAGTTTCAGGATTAGTGCCTCAATTCAAACTTAAGAAAAGCTATGAGAGTGAGATTAATTGTTGCAAGCAGCAATACAAAAGCTGAGTTAGTTAATAATACCAAGAAGCTTATATGGGTTGAGAAAAGTAATGTCAAAGTTGAATTCTTGTATATATTCAGACTCATGATAATATTCGAGATATGAATATACTAGTCAATTCTGACAACAATCAGGCTGTATGCATAGGGTATAAATCCAAACATCTCTTCCATGGGAAAACCCAAGCATAGCAATCTTTATTAATATATCAAAACAAGTAATCATAGCACAATTCCTCGAGGAAGCTGAAAAGTGAAAATATGTGACAATTTCAGATTATTCAAATTTGAGAGTAATTCTTGCAATTATCACTTATAAAGAGCGAAAGAGAAATAAACTTCTTCACAATATATAGTGCTATTTGAAAATAAACCAAGATTTGAAATTTCTTAGAGAAATAGAATCTCTTATCATCAACTCTTGCCATTAAAAGGAGGAGTGTTAAAGTTAACAGCTACGCTATGATGGCAGCTTTAGTGTTGTCTTAGATATAAATATTTTATGAAGTATCATTTTTGTTTAAATAGTCTATATTGATTTTATGATGTGTTATATCATATTTCTTCTAGAAAATAAGAGTTAGGAATTTCATTACTATGAACTACCTGACTTTTAGGTAAGGTTTGGTGAACAAACCTTTCCTTGACTTAATGGAAGGTTGGTCAACACAAACTCTAGCAACTATGTCTCGATATCTATAGATAATGTTTACATAATGCCTAACTAGTATATAAGGGCGTTAATGGAATTAACAAAAGAAATTAATTGTTTTCTTTAAACACTTCACACACAAATCTGCAGCTTTTTCTTTTTCTGCAGAATTTTCCTTCTTCTTCCTTAATATTCTGCTCTTGCTAAACAACAAGTTTTAGACATGACATAATGAAAACAGGCTTCATTGTTTCTTCACACTCACAAAATCTGCAGCTTTTTCTTTTTCTGCAGAATTTCCTTCTCTTCCTTAATTTTCTGCTCTTCTAAACCAACAAGTTTAGACATGACTATATGAACAGCTCAAACCCACTAAAGATTTTCTATTTTAATCCTTGGTACCAGTCCCACTGCACCTGATTTAGTATTCTCATTACATACTCCTTTTATATTCATTTGAACAAAACTGGAGAGAAGTGGCTTCAGATATTCTTTCTCTGATAACTCTTCGCTGTGACGTGCGAGTGGCTGTTGGAACTCTGCACCTTATTTAAAGTTGAATGCCTTTCAATACTCTTGAAGTCTTACAAGCTTTAGTCGTTTAAGTTGGATGCTGATGTTTTTTTTATTAAATACTTTCTTAGTAAAAATGCTTTCCGCTAAAGACTTATGGGGAGTGATCCCAGACTTCTTTAACTAATGGACAGGCAACAAATGAATAATTCATTATGTGTACATCAATAGCAGAACATGGACAGTACAAGTTAATTGCTATACTTCTTTGACAAAAATAATTTGCACGGTTAAGGCTGGCATTCAAGCAATTCCAGCAAATAGAAAATGGTTGGCAGTGGTCAATTGTTGAAAGAGTTCTTATCTTATAATAGGGTGCCTCACTTATTTTCACTTTCATCGGTCCATTGCACAAGTTGTTGTTGTTGAACAACTCTAAGAAAGTTCCCTAATAATGCCATCATAATCCCACTATGATGGAAAAGGTAAATAAATGCCTTCCAAAAAGAGAAAAGAAAGAAAAGATGAGAGAACATAGTACTGTGTGGAAAGCAACTGTAAAAGGAAAGTTGGAGACTGCAAAATGGACAAATTCAGTCTATAATGTGTGTTTCACTCACTTGCCAATGTAAGACCCACTTTAAAGGTAAAGGAAGAAGAGGAGGAAAAGGGAATGAGATACATGTTCTTTCTCCGCTATCCTGGATTTTATAGCTGGAGAGCACTCCAAATAGACATATGTTTCTATAATTGAAGACGTCACAACTTTTTGGATTGGTTTGAGAACATTATTGTTTGTAGATAATATTAAAGTTTGAAGATATGTATTTTGCAATTCCAAGGATAAGTTGGTTGTCTTGCTGATTTTTGGTAATTTAAAATTTGAGCTTCTCAAGAAGAATTTTGAGATGCCAAAGTACAATAATAGAAGACTGATGTCCCCATATGTTATAAAATTATGAAACAATCCTTTTGCTCAGCGAGTTGTTTTTGTCTGATGTGCTGCCATGATTTTGGCTACAGAATGGATTTTTTTTCTGTCATCCTGATCATGTTATTTGTCCAAATTCACTCAAATTGATAGGTAGGCTCGATATATCTTTTTGAAATTTGATAAAAAGTACACATTTCTTCTTTTATTATATTATTCAAGGTACTTATATTTGTTCATGTTCTGCTTTTGTATCGTATGTAGCAGAACTTGCAATGTGGAGAGAGTGTTACTATTGAAGGTCAAGCATACACCATTTCAGCTGTAACTTATCGGTACCAGCTCCGCAAGGGGAAGTACGAACCTAGCGAGAAGAGGCTTGATGTTTTATCTACAGGAAGATACATCTTGAACTTATATTTAGAAAATTTGCTAGATCAATCATGAAATCTAAAACTTTGATTGCATTTTGAATATTTGAGAACTTCAAGTGTCCATATAGAGAAAGAACAATAAAAATAGCCCTGAGTTAGTAAATATGCAGAGGCACTTGGCCCAGTAACCATCACGTGTAGTCATGTACTGTATAACCTTGAAATGAATGTATTGCCTGTGATTGCTAACTCTTGGTTTCATCAATAATTCTTTTTATTTATTTATTATGTTTAGATGAATAATAAGAACTGATACTTGAATTACTGAAAACGGACTGTAAAAATGGACACGGGGCCTGAACGCATTCGTGGAGCTATCAGAAAAAAAATAGTTCAATTACTAAAAATATAATATCAATATGCATGAAATCTATCAATCGTTGGATCACGTGCACACGGGAGCTCATTTGCACACAATAATTTCTGTTCCCATATTCATTTAGGTGTTTAGGTGTGGCAGGGCATGGTTTCATTTTGAACCAAAATCAAACTGGATACTAGAAATGGTTTGAATCAGACCAGTTAGAACCAGTTAAGAAAGATTCCTAGATTTTGAATTGGTTCCAGAAAATTTTTTTGAATTTCGGCTTGAAAAACCAGCGAGCCATAATTGACTAGAAAACCTAACCGGTAGAATCTGCTGGATTTTGGGAGGACCAGCTGGACTGGTTGGAGTTGAAACCGAAATTAAAATCGGAAGAACCAAGTCGTTTCGAACTGGTGGATGGGCCTAATAATAATGCATGTGTTCATGTAATTATTAGTCATCTTTGATAATGGAACCCTGCAAGGTTTATTAGCTGCTCAAAACAGTTTGAACACGTGGAAGCACCTAAAGGACAAAGACAAAGTACATGTGTTTCTTTCTTTCAAAAAAGAGTTGAACTATATAACTCTCTCTCTCCCCTCATTAAAATTAAGAAAATCATTCAACAATCTCAATTCTATATATATATAAATTACTTCTATTTGCTTTACCCATCTACGTATCTGGAATTATATTCCTCAATTGTTTATTCAAGATTTATGATAATGAATGAAAAACTATGAGTTTTACTCTTTCAAAAAAAAAAAACCACGAGGACGCCATAAGACTCAGAAGAACCAGTGAAGCTGAGCATAAGAACACGCGACATTTTGGAGGCTATCATGCATCTGGAAACTGGAGTTGTGCACATGACATCCCTAGAAATTAACAAATGCGGAAGGAGATCTCAAAGTTTTCCGTGTTCAGTAAAACTGGTGGATGGGCCCTAATAATAATGCATGTGTTCATGTAATTTATTAGTCGATACTTCTATAGACTCAATGCGAACCCTGCAAGGCTTATATATATAGACATGCCCACACACAGTTCTGCAACATTTCGTGACAGGCAACACATTGACACCAGGACAAAGGTAACTAAAGCTATACTGTTCGTTTTCTTCAATTCAAAAAGAGTTGAACTATATTAGAATCTATCTCTCTCCTACATCTAGTGACCCAAAATTAAAGAAAATTGAACCAGAACAATCATCATCTCTATAAACGACTATTTTTTAGAATACTATTTACGTTATAGTCTATAGATTGAGAGAAATATGTATTTAATATATATAACTTAAAATTATTTCGAAAATAATCACGCTAAAGGTAAATGTAAGATGCGAATATACAAATTTACCCTTAAATTTGGAATGTCATGTACAGAAAAAATTAATAATTCCGTGGATATTACAAATAAATCAAGGAGAGACTGAAGTAAAATGTGAGAAAGAAATATGAAGAGAGAGAAGATATTTTAATTGATAGTTGGAAAGAAAAATTGAATTATCTTAACTATTCCCCGGCCTTCGCAGTCCGCGAGAGAAACTGATGTTGCAAGCAAGAGAAACTCACAGTGATAAAAGTAATATACACTAGACTCATGAGAAGCTGTAAGAAGGAGACAACGATAGTGTGCGGACCGTGGAAATATCGCTGCCCAAAGGTGGAAGCACACACCAAAAAGAATATATAGTCACACTCACAGCATATTGCCGGGCCAATATTGTACTATAATTAAGATAAAACCACAATTATCCACAAAAATATTTTTTCTACTAAACTTCGTAAATTTTACTATCTCGCCCATTTGTCTGCTCTATCCTCAAAAGTCTCTATGCTGCCTTAAACACCCTCAAATATTTTATACCGCATAGAGATTGTACTATTCCAAGAAGAATCTGCTCGTAATATAAATTTCCTAATATATTAACAAAATCTATTCTATTGTGATTGTTAAGAGTTTATTAGGTGATTTTTGTGTAGAGTCTGTTATATAACGTTTTTTTAGGAGAGCTTTATAAATCTTTAGGAGGCATTACTTATTATAGACCTAATAATCGATCCAAGAAATTTATCCTTCCTTTGAGGTGTTTACCATAATCTAGAGCGCTCCGATTTGATGGATAGATGCAATCTATTAATTAGTTTATTATAATTATGCACTTTAGTTTTTTCTAAAAACCCATAATAAGGCGAGCTACAATAAAATATTTTTCTACCCGACACCCTCAAAACACCCCAAATATTTTATACTCCAAGGGACTCCAAGAGACTTGCTCTAAATTCCTAATATAAAACACATTCAAGTGATTTTGGTGTGTTTTGATGTGTTTAGAAACTTAAACTTTGGCTTCCTTTTATAGCCAAACCTACCACCCTCTTTTACTCATCTCCCCGATGTGGGATTGAGCAAAACTATTATTATTATTATTATTATTTATTTGTTTTCAACAAAGGCGGCTAACATAATTTTTAGAAAAAAATTAAAAGTAATCTCTAAATTATAGTCAAATTAATACACGAGAACCTTTAATTTCAAAAACTAACTATAAGGTGTATAACTTATAATTATATTAACACTTTAGTATTTCCATCCAATAGTCTTTTAACTGTCAATTGACGAAGAAATTAGTCATTAAATTGTAATCAAATTAATTAAGTGGTCCTTAATTTATAATTTTTATTAACACTTTGATCCCTTGTCTAAATTCCATTAATATTTTGGTCCCTTTGTTTTGATCAAAGGCCTAAAGTATTAATAAATTTTAATTTAAGAACTTCATATATTGGTTTTTTAAGGACAAAGGTCTCATATGTTAATTTGATTATAATGTAAGGACTAACTTGTTTTTTCCCATAATTTTTTAATATGAATGAAAAAAAAAAATTGAAATAAGATTTGTTTATATGTGGTGTATGAAATCAATTATATAAAGCCAATTAAAAAATTTAAAAATATTGTTTTTTTATTTTATTTTTCATATATGATGAAAAATACAAAATTATTTTAAATTATTTTAAATATATTTTGATATTTTAAATTACTTATTAATTATAAAGCATTAATAATTTTTGAATCTGTATGTTTTTATGTTTGTAATAAAACATTGTTTACAGGTTCTGAATAAGTTGCATAACAGAAGATGAAACTGGACAAGTGAAAATTGTTATCTTTGAAAAACAAGCACAAATACTTATTTAAGAGTCCTGCTCAGCATTGACAATGTTGCTAGGATATACAGATCCTAAGTTCTTCCACCATCAGTCAGTGCATTACTAGATGTTAAAAAAATTTTTCAAGTTTCAGTCAATATTAAAGCTGCAAACTCTAGAAAATTGGAATTGTTAGTAAATAGAATCTTTGATGATGAGTTTAAACCAGCTATTCCAATAACAATTGAGTCACTGATGGTTCACAAAAATATTTTATCCTTACACTTGGGCGAAGATTCAACATAATGGTTCTTTGTGAATAATACACTCTTTACGTTCTTTTATTGCGTAGATTATTCTTTGAATTGACAAAGCTATTAATCGAACAAAAATAATTTAATCTTAAATATATATTGTCAAACAAGCAAAAATAATATATGACCATTTTGCATATAAATAACGTTTTTAACTTAACATTTTAACATATATTTTTCTTTTGACTCAAAACAACAATTATTATTTTTATAAAATTTGTTCTATCTCTTAGATATTATTATTTGGTTTAATTTATAGATGTGTACAGATTCTTTTGAAATTCTATTGCCTGGGATGAAGATGGGACTTTTTAAACGTATTTTGTTGTGTACAAAAACCAATATAGGTAAAGTATAATTTACAATCATATCTTTCTATAAGAGTTTAGAATGTTTAAACCACACAATATAAACTTTATATTTCGTATTGTCAAAGAAGCAAAAAAAAAAAAAAAAAAAAAAAAAAAAAAAAAAAAAAAAAAAAAAAAAAAAAAAAAAAAAAAAAAAAAAAAAAAAAAAAAAAAAACTTAATTATTTTGCATTTAACACATATTTTTTCTTTTGTCTTCAAACTCTTTTTTGAGTGACATAGATATTAGAAACTGCTAGATAATAATGTTTACATTTGGTATAAGCTTTATGCAACTATTAAAGAAAATATAAGACCTTATGACATTATAAGCTTTATATTTCATATTGTCATATTTTATCTTATAATTATTTATGAATGTGCATCGACTCTCTTAAAGCTCCACGACTTGAGATGCACAAATAAAATATACTTTACAATCATGAAAGTAATTCATCTCTAAATTTAACTTTTTAAATCTAAATTTGAATTTGCTATATTTGATGATATCATACAGGTAAGAAGAAAACTCGGTCATTGCCGATTAAATAACCTTTTTCACAATGCCTTCTTGAATGTACTAAAGACGGCTATTGAATAGTGTATAACTAAACCTACAACATCAATGTACTTATATATATATATATATATATATACATAAAATATTTTCAAAATCTATAATTCTCATTTATATTTTGAGGACAAAAAAAAATGTAATTAATATATATATATATATATATATTCACATAAATATTTTCAAAATCTATAATCTCATTTATATTTGAGACAAAAAAAAATGTATTATTTACTAATTCAAATGAAAATGTGAAAAATGGGTGACATTGCCCGGATCATTTGGCTTGTTATACCTAAAAGAGAATGATTTGGTACATTGCACATTCAGCACACTAAAAATGATTGTTTCAGAACACACTTATGTGATTGGTAATATTGGTCCCACAACTTTGGGAGATTGTCTCAATATCCATTTAATCATTACACGTGTCGCAATATGAACCCCTTCTAATAGAAGCTTGCAATCGCACCCTCATCCTCCTTGACCCCACTAGAGACCTCCATATCCTATGATCAATGGCTATAGTTTGTTCAATCGCATGATTACCCACTGCATATCTCCTCGCCACTACCGTTTGATAAGAATAATCTTTTTAAGGTCAAGAGAGGTAGTTAGTAGGTCCCATTTAGGACTACACAACAACCATATGCCTGCCTTCTGCCCTGCAACCTCTAGTGGGTCCCACAAAAAACATGTCTCTTGGCAGGTTGTGGAGCCCGCCAGCGTGACAGGATGGTCCCACATGTCTTGGTGGGCCTTACCAAAATGAGGTCAATAAAGTATGGGACGCCCATACTGAAAAGACAAATTTACCCCTAAAATAAGAGATTGTTTAGAAGGTGTTTCGTTGAGGCGTTAATGATTAATCATCAGCAGGAGTGCGTTGAGTTAGATTCACCACTGGCGCATTTTATCATCGTGCGCCGAGGCATGACAGCCGTCCACGTGCATTTGTTGGCGGAGTTCACGTGCGTGCATGTGACGCCTCCTACCTCCTCGAATTTGGTTAATACTTGAAAATAATAATATTGGCGTGGTTAATTAAACCCATGTGATTACTAATAATAATAGGATCGTTAAACACTAAACTGCAAGGGAAATCTGATTCCTAAATTTTTTGCTATTGCCAATGCAATTGCATAGGAGGAGACACAAAAATATTTTACTATTAATTTATCCGCAAAAACTTTTTTATTTATTTATAAGAAATCGATGAATCAAAATGATATTATAAATTACAGGACGATATAGTAACTCTTCTCTGTACTCACCAAATTAATAAAATTTAAATACTTATTAATATTAAATATATGTAAAGGTATTAAAAAAATTGGCATAAATTGAAATATAAGCATTAAAAATATGAGTGTACTTTGATAAGGAGGAAACAATATAAAATAGTAATAAAAAATAACGATGACAATCGATTACCATTTATAGATAAAGATTTTTCAAATTATGTCAATAAGGTGTGATCTAATTGGTCTTCTCTTTTATATGAATAGCGGGAGGTCTCAAATTCGAGTCCTAAGTCCTCTTGACCACAATTAGTGAGTGAAGAGAAAATGCTATCTTTCCACCAAACTCAAAATTGATTCGATTCGACTCTTTTAAAATCTTAAATAAAATAATATAATATTAAAATTGAAATTATGTGCCATTCTTTGCAACAAAAAATAGTTTAGAATACTAAGTTTTAATCACAATCCAGTTGGACTTAATTCTATGAATATTTTCTTTTACTATCTGTTATGTTCCAAATAACAACAATTAAAAGTAAAATAACTTTTAAAAGGATTTAGAACACTTTTTTGGTAAAATTTTGTAAGAGAAATTTTAAAATCATTTACTAGTTATTAAATAAAAAAACATAAGAAATGCAACAACTAAATATAATTTACAATATGATTTTAAGCTTGTCTATTCTCCTTTGAGCACTCTCTACAGTCAAAATATTACATTTATGAATCGAGGTATACGGGAGTCTACGTAACGTATAACTGTACCATTTTATATTAATACTCGAGGAAAAATATTTAAACTATAGAGTAATTTACCAAACCAACCTTGATAACCATATTGTTTGCTCCCAATTAAGAGAGTTGGTAATCTTAACAATGCTGAAATTTTAAGACTTTTATTTCACTCTTAGGTTTTTTTGGGTGAATTTTCATATTTCGTTACCGATTAAGTTTAATTATTCAGATAACTTTTTTTAATTAAGGTGGTTTAATGATTTTTTAATCCTTTTATAATTATCTTAAAATACACTTAAAATGAGATAAAAAAGGAGAAATAATTTAAAGTTTTCTATGAAATAATGATATTGTAAAACTCGAGTTCCAATTTTTATTGAAGCCAATTAAAAATAAAAATACGTTTATTTTACAAATAAAAGATTTTTTTAATTCAAATGAAAAGTACATTCAAAAAATTAAAAAAAAAAATATGAACAATAAAATAATTTCCTATTATAATTATGATTTAATTATTTCATGTGCGTAGTGACCTAATTATTTGAAAAAGTGCTTAATAATGTATAAGTAATTCAAAATAAAAATAAAAATTGAAACTTGAACAGTTTCTTTTCCTTTTTTATCTAAAAAAAAAGACATGGCCAACATATGAAATTAGCAAAAAAAAAAAAAAAAAAAAAATTTTCTTTCCTTTTATCTAAAAAAAAAGACATTTGGCCAACATATGAAATTAGGCAAAAAAAAAAAAAAAAAAAAAGAAATCAAATCAATGCCAAATTATGCCCTTTCTAATGAAGTAACAAATAAAAGAAAAGAAATGATGAAAAAAAAGCAAAGAAACCATAATATTGATAAAAATGAAAGCGAAACAAAAATAATAAAAGAAGCCAAAATAGTAAAAAAAAAAAAAAAAAAAAAGAAATCAATCAATGCAATATGCCCTTTTTTGCTAATGAAGTAAAAATAAAAGAAAAGAAATGATTGAAAAAGCAAGAAACCAATAATATGAATAAAAATGAAAGGAAACAAAATAATAAAAGAGCCAAATAGTAAATAGCTAGAAGTGGTGGGGCCACTCAACACATAATGAGTGAGGTGGCCCAATCTTTGTCCACTTAATTAGAAGAATAACAATTATTTCTCATAAAGAGCAAGAAGGAAAGCTACTGAGGAAAACAATTAATCCAAAAACAGAGAAGCTTTTAAGCACATTACTAAATTATCTTTGCTTGCTAAGTTGGTTTGCTTTGATTTTCTCTTTACAATATCAATCTTTGATCCATAAAACGACGAAAGATTAACACAAACAGCTTTTCACAAGCAGAAAATTTAAATAAACAAATAAATAAAATAATCTTTTATAGTTATTCTCTTTCTCTTTCTTTCTTGCTTGCTTTCTTGGTTTCTTTCTTGTTTGGATCCGATCTGAACAAGAGCTAAAATTTTTCAGGGAAACAGAAAGTTGTTTAACTTTTCTTTTCTTTGCGAGGTGTGTTTTGGGTATTTGGGTCTTCCTCTTTCTTTCTTTCTTTCTTGCTATCTATGACTCATTGCTAATTACTTTTTTTTTTTTTTCTCCAGAGTCATGTAAGATTGCTTCCTCTGCATTTTATTCTCTCTTGTTTAATAAGGTATTTAGTTCTTTTTCTTGTTTCGTTTAATGGCTATCTTCTAATTTGCTTTATTTTTGCTTTTCTAATCAGTTGCTTAACTAACTGTTAACAAAAGGAAACTTGAAGTAGCTCTGTTGCTTGTATTGCAATTCTAGCTTAGCTTGGCTCAACGTTTGGCTCTCCTTCTTCTTCTATTTCTTTAACGTATGTATACAATTTGATCATTTAGCTAGAAGAAGATAACCTTTTTAGCGGCTGAATAGGCTAGTCTTTTATATTTTTCCTTTGTGCAATTGGATTATTGAGAAGAAGTTGTTTATGTTGGTTTCTGACAGCGGAAAGCTATGCAGATTTTGGACTTTTTTTTTTCAGATTTTAGAAATCCTAGTTTTTTGAATGTTTAAAAGAGTGGATTTTGACATTTAATTTGATTATATATGAAGTAACGGTTTACATCTTCATTTCTTTGGGCTACAACTTATCTTGTTATCTCCGTCATGCTTGTAGTTTCGTTTGTTAGTATATTTGGATGAGTTGGTATTGCATATGCAGATTCTACATATTGTTGTTTCTCTTGTTTGAATATATAATATAATTACCAGGATCATCCATTTCTTTATTTCTAATGATAGCCTAGTAATTGTAACAGTTCCTCGATTTTAGATATAAAGACAATTTATTTTGAAGATCTTTTTCATTAATGGCTTGATGGCTTTTCATTAATAGCTCTATTTCTTAAGATAATTTGCCTTGATTGGATTTTGGTGTGATAGTGCTGGTGTGAAGTTGCTTAATGGAGTCATTGGGTAATGGAGTTGATCCTTCATCAAATAGTCAAAGTTCAACTTCTACAATAAGGAATAATTCTCTGCCCACATTAGTTGCTCCTCGTCCTTCTCGGCCTCCATCTGCTGAACAATCTAGATATGAAGGAACTTCTACCACGTGCTATGCAGCAACTCATCATCCAGGCTCGAAGCATCTAAATGGTTCTGTTGCAAATCAAAAGCTTTCCTACAAATCACTTCATGATCCTACAGAAAATGAAGAATTGCCAAATATGGCCAAACACTTTTACGGTCCACTTAAGGATCTTGTGGGCTTGAGTGAAGTTCTTAATCAATCAACAGAAAGTTTTCCTGAGAAGAATGTTCTCATGGTAGAACCCAAATCTAATCATGCTATTGATGAACCTGAAATATCTAATTCAAGTGGTTCACTTGAATCAGAAAGTGTAGTCTCAGGTTCATGTGAAGGAGATGGTGGGGTGCGGAACAACCATGGAGCATCTCATTCAGCCATAAGCTTTTGTTCTAGTCCTTCAACCAGTGTATACACTGCAACTCATTATGCAGAAGCGAAGCAAAGTTTCACCAACACAGAAGTTAGTGAAGAAGCTAGCTCTATTGAGAAACCAAGTGAAAGCGGCAATATAAGTAACTCTCATGATAATGAAAGCAGGAAGCTGAGTCTCTATAGAGGCAGCACGGATAGTGATGTTAGTGATGACAGCAGCTCTAGTAGTCTAACTGGTGCTTTGTACAAACCCCACAAAGCAAATGATATAAGATGGGAAGCAATTCAAGTTGTACGATCTCGTGATGGAGCATTGGGTTTGCATCACTTTAAATTGTTGAGGAGATTGGGATGTGGAGATATAGGCAGTGTTTATCTATCAGAGTTAACTGGAACAAGAACTTATTTTGCAATGAAAGTTATGGATAAGGCAGCTCTAGCGACTAGGAAGAAGCTTCCAAGGGCTCAAACAGAACGAGAGATACTGCAATCTTTGGATCATCCATTTCTACCCACTTTGTATACGCATTTTGAGACAGAAAAGTTCTCTTGCTTGCTGATGGAGTTCTGCCCTGGAGGGGACCTGCATGCACTCAGGCAAAGACAACCTGGGAAGTATTTTCCAGAGCATGCTGCTCGGTTAGAAACCATTTCCTCCTCTCCTTGCTCTTTGTTTTTTGACTATATAGAGTACAAGTAAAATCATATTTTGAAAAAAATGAGATATTGAGAATGGAGCTGCTTTTCTCCGTGTTTTGCTTTTCTTTTGGTTTTTTTCAAATATTTTAGAAGCAATTGACATATCTAAATGATAGGTGACTACCATTTCAATTTTTGAATAACATCTTTTAAATATACAATACCAAACTCTGAACATTGCTCTTGTTATAAATCCTATTTATCCATGAAATTCATTTTTGTCTGGCAGAGGGTCACATATTACAGTAAGCTTTTCTCCTTTAGCTATGGTGTTGCTATATGCATTGCTCCTAGCAAATTGAATGGCCTTTCTTCTAAGTTTTAGCATACCTTTTTCAAATTGTTTGCATGGATCAGGATGCTTCACCTATTCTTAGCTTATCTTGACATCTATTTCTTTATGTTCTCCTTGCCGCAAGCGATATAATTTCTGTTTTCTTGAATATTGCAATAATGGATATGATTATAGTCAATATAAGCTCTGTTGTTTCTTTGATTCCTATGTTCCAAGCCTCTATTAAGTTTTGTTGTTTTTTAAGAATGATGAAGGAAATTTTCTTTTATCATTATATGTGTCTATTAACTGAAAGAAAGTTTATGTTTCATGAATAGTTACTAATTTAAGTTTGAACTCAATTAGAAACTCCGAATGGAGAAAAATAGGAGTTCAAATTTGGACTTTTTGGGAAAAAAAAAAATCCAAGTCCATATGCATTTGTTTTTCATACAGATAAGTCATGTAGAAAGAGGGTTGGATTAAAAAACCATGAAAATGCAATTTTGCTAATTAAATATCATTGTCCCATAAGTTACTTGCTCTTAACTTTAATCCATGCATTTGGGTTGTCATTCTGCAGATTTTATGTTGCCGAAGTTCTCCTTGCTTTGGAGTATTTGCACATGCTTGGGATCATTTACAGAGACCTTAAACCGGAGAATGTTTTAGTTAGGGAAGATGGGCACATAATGCTTTCAGATTTTGATCTGTCTCTAAGATGTTCTGTCTCCCCAACCCTGGTCAAATCATCGAACTTTACTTTGGAGTCAAAGAATACAGCATATTGCGCCCAGCCTGCTTGTATCGAGCCAACTTGTGTAATGCAGCCGGATTGCATCCAACCAGCATGTTTTGGACCACGGTTTTTGTCAAGCAGGTCCAAGAAAAATAAAAAGGTTAAGCCAAAGAATGAAATGAATCATCAAGTAAGCCCTCTCCCTGAGCTAATTGCTGAACCTACAAATGCTCGATCAATGTCTTTTGTGGGCACACACGAGTACTTGGCACCAGAAATAATTAAAGGCGAAGGCCATGGCAGTGCTGTAGATTGGTGGACATTTGGAATCTTCCTTTATGAGCTTTTGTTTGGTAAAACTCCTTTTAAGGGGGCAGGAAATCGAGCTACATTGTTTAATGTAATTGGTCAGCCATTAAGATTTCCAGAATCACCTCCTGTGAGTTTTGCTGCTAGAGATTTGATCAGAGGCTTACTGGTGAAAGAACCACAACATCGTCTCGCCTATAGGCGTGGAGCTACCGAAATAAAGCAGCATCCATTCTTTCAGAGTATAAATTGGGCACTCATTAGGTGCACAAATCCTCCAGAGGTTCCAAAACAAGCCATGATGGATATTCTTATGAGGGCTGATATACAAAAAGCACCCACTTCAGGAAATGTTCCGGGTGTCGATGTGAAGCCTTCAGGTAACTATTTAGAGATTGATTTCTTTTGATTTCTTTGATTGGTTTCGTTCATCGGACCATCTTTCCATAGCCTCATTCTTGCATGTTGTGCTTCAATGGTTCTTTTTCCATTGCAAAGGGAGACAAAACCCATTTGTCCCTTAATAAGCACAGTTTATGTTCTTTAAACAACACTTGAGGAAATGCAAATGCAATTAACTGAAGAAAACGAAGTTGCTGCTTTTTCATTTCTGTCAAAGTTATTCCATCTGCTTATTATTTCCAATCATTGTATAGATTCTTAATATCCATTAGTTTTATTTATTTATTTATTTATTTTTGATTCGGAGTTAGTTTTCAGTTTCACTATCAAATTCAAGAATCCGGCATTTTTAACATATATATTGATTCAGGAAATTATTCTGAAAAACCAAATTCCTTGTTTGATTTGCAGAGTAGACTAGGACTATAATGGAATATGATTGAATGCCCGAAGTCTGAACTTCAATTATGTGTAGAATATTTTGTTTACAGTTTGTAATAATGTCATGATTGGAATTAGGTTTCTATTCATTGGGAGACCTAATAGATCGGAATAATATTAGTATTTTAGTTGGATTCCAATTGGATATTTCGGCACACCAAAGGTATAGCTTAGTAGTAACTGGTAAGTGCATATACGACCAAGGACTCGTGATAAGTGTCGAACCAAATTTTGGTATTATAAATTATAATACTCTATTTAAATGACGTGTAAAATTATAATTGGATATATAATTTTGTATTGTATGTGTATAGTAACTTATTCGAGTATTGAAGTTTTAATTTAATATTATAAGCAAATTTATTAATATTTTAATCTGTTTGATATAGGGAGTGTGGTACCGGTTGGATTCATTTTGAATCAAACCAAACTGAAAAATTAAAAATTGAGTCACACTTTTTCTACTCTGAACTAAGTGATTGTTTGGATCAGTGAATTGTGAAGTCCATTGATTTTATAAAATTTATGGAATGTAGAATATATAAATTATAAAATTAATGGAATTTCGTTCTATGAAATATAAAATTCATGGATTTTAAAGATATCCTTTAAAGAAATTAAGTAGTTTAAATTCAATCAGAAACACAAAAAAAAAAAAAAAAAAAAAAAAAAAAAAAAAAATGGGAATTTCGTTCTATGAAATATAAAATTCATGATTTTAAAGATATCCTTTAAAGAAATTTAGAGTAGTTTAAATTCAATCAGAAACACAAAAAAAACAAAAAAAAACAAAAAAAAAAAAAAAAAAAAGAAAAAAAAAAAAAAAAAAAAAGAACTAAATATCTCTATTTTAGATTAAGTTCATCATAAAAATTATTAATTAACATAGTTTTTATTTTCCTTTTTAACCAAATGAAAGAATCGATAAATTCATAAAATGTTGAGATTCCATCAAATTTAAAAATTGCTTTTGCAGCCCATTTGGAACAAATAAATTATGATCGAAGAATTTATTTGTAAATAAATTCTAAATGAATTCATTTGGAAACGAATTTATCATGTTTGGTATGTTACAATGTAAAAAAAAAGAATTCAATTGAATTCCATAAAATTATACTTGGAATAAATTATTAAATGAAATTCATTTGTCTTTATTTTTTATAACACTCTTAACATAATAATTTAACAAAAATAAATAACAAACACCAATTATATTTATTATGTACAATATAAGAACTTGTTATTAAAATATAAATAATAAATTTCTTATAAATAAGTACACTAATATTGCATCCTAATTAATTAATTATATAAATAATAATATTAATTATAATAATTATTTTTAATCGATGTAAAAAATTTTATTGATTTAAGTAATTAATTTAGAAACTAAAAATAAATTAAGAATGTCACTATTATTTTTAATTGCATTTGAAAACAATTGTTGATACTCAATTTTTATAGTTTCATAGTAATAATAACTAATTTTTAATTGCATTTGAAAACAATTGTTGATACTCAATTTTTATAGTTTCATAGTAATAATAACTAATATTATTACTATACCTAAAAAAAAAGTCATTACTGGATTGGAGTTTTTCAAAAAAAAAAAATTATAAACTTACGTTACTATTGAATTAAAAAAAATAATGTTATTTCAGTTTGGAATTTTCCAAAGACAATAAACAAAAAGAAAAAAGAAAGTAAAAATAGTTGAGTTTATAGTCGAGGATAATTTTGTCAATAAACATTTCAATGGTCAATTTTGTAGAATTCATTTACAAATATCATCAGTTTTAATAGAATTTGAGTTAGACATGCCCAATTTCATAGAATTTAATTCGTAAAATTTAAATTTATATTTTTTTTCATTTCAAACACAAAATTTTGAATTACCAAATAAATTTCATAAAATTTTATAGAATTCATTTATTCTAAACCAGCTCTTAATTTGCCAAATTTATGTTTAATTTAATGAAATTCATAAAAGCTCACATTTTATCCATCCAAACCACAAAAAATGAAGATCAAGTAAGCTGACATGATATTATGAGACAGTATGCCAAAGGTTAGGACCCAGCAACAACTGTTTCGTAAGAGCTTGCGTCAGGTTCCGACCTTTCGCTTAGTTCCACACGACATCAATTGCTACTGAAAATATTCAAAAACGAGGTTGCTTCTTGTTGCTGTTTTCTTGCATTTATAAGCAATATTTAAATTTTGCCACCTCATATATCAATACATAAAAAATTATTAAAATCAGAGAATTTTTATTCACGGGTTGTGATTCGGTTAATAATGCAAGCTGGACATATGGAAAAAGCTCTCGGATACGATCTTCACTAATAAGACCACACTTAATTAACATATAATTGAGTTATTCACTCTCTATATCTTTAAGATGTTTCACTAAGACAACACTTAAAAATTTAGTAAAATTTAGTAGTTTTGATAGCTAAACACTTATAAATTTAGTAATTTTGACAGTTATTAATTGTTTTAGTAATTAATGTGATAAGATTAATCAGACAACACTTAGTTGACATATAGGGTGTGTTCGATAAAATTAATTATTTTAGTAGCTATTAGTTGTTTTAATAGTGGTTAAGTAGTATTTTATAAAACATTAAAGTTAAACGTTACATGTTTAACATTTTATAAAACGTTATCTTAATCTCTAAAAGTTAATTCAAACGCTATATTATTGAACATTATAAAAAATAACGTTTAATATTTTGTTTAATCAAAACGCTAAAAAAACTTTAAAAAGTTGTTGTCGAACATAGTTATAAAATGAGTTATTTGAAAAATATTTTCTGCATAAAAATTATTGTCAAATGAAAAGGAGCCTTAAATATAAGGTATACTCCAATCTCAATTTTCAACTATAATTTGTCATGACTCATGAATTTAAAATCTCTTAACCGATGTCTTACGTACAAGTAACAAATGCATATATTAACCGATGTCTTACGTACAAGTAACAAATGCATATATATATAATATATTATATATATATATATATATTATATATATATATAATTGAATTAAAAAATTAGAGAAAAAAATAAATTGATCTTGAATTATAGTTCAAAATTAATATATGAGAAATTTATTTTTCAAAATTAATTATGAGAGGGAGTTCTTAATTTTATATGATTTTCTACTTAATGTATTGGTTCCTTCTGTCTAACAATAACTTCTTTTTTAACAATCAAGTTGATTAGACTGTTCTTTTTAATTATAATCAAACTTGATTATAAAGATTCCTTAATTATGATTTTCGTTAATATTTTAGTCTTTATATAATGAATTAAAAATTAGAGAAAAAAATAAATTGATCTTTGAATTATAGTCAAAATTAATATATGAGAAATTTTATTTTCAAAATTAATTATGAGGTTCTTAATTTATATGATTCTATTAATGTATTGGTCCTTCTGTCTAAAATAACTTCTTTTAACAATCAAGTGATTAAGACTTGTTCTTTAAATTATAATCAAACTTGATTATAAGATCCTTAATTTATGATTTTCGTTAATATTTTAGTCTTTTATTTTAGACAGAATGACTAAAATATTAATAAAATCATAACTTAGAGATTTGATAATTAATTTTTTAAAATATAAGTCTTTATATATATTAATTTGACTAGAACTTAGAGATAAATTTATTGTTTTCTCTAATAGTTATTATCTTAATAATCAAAAATTGAAAGTTGAAATATGCATTTCCATTTTTGTCGATCCAGGAAATGGAATATTTCCATTTATATCATAAAAATTTATTAGATTACATCAATATTTTCACTAATGATAAATATCTTCCTTTTACAAAGAAATATCTCAAATTTTTTATAAATTTTTTTCTTTCTATTTTGAAAACAAAAACAATAAAAATGGAATAATATAAAAAATTGAGATAATATAAAGAAATAAACAAAATGAAAAAAAATGTAATAAATATAATTAATTGATTGTGTAAGAATTTTGTATAAAATATTTAATTTAAAAAAAAAATTATCAATTTAAACACTTAGTTAATAAAATATTAAATAAAATCGTGCGTCAAATAAACATTTTCTTTTACAAATAATTGTTGTTGCTCAATCATGACTTAAGATCCCCTAAAATAAGGATTTGACTTTTTGGTTTTTAATAATTAGCTAGCAAAGCTATTGTCTGTAAGTAATAAAATCTGAAGGCCTAATCATAACGTGCCACATCAGCAAACATAGTAACGAGATTTTCTTTTACTATTAATTCTCTCTCATTTTCTAATAATTACAAATTCTCTAATTCAAGTATGCATAAATTGGTTTTAAATTTTTTTCTTCATTCAAAAGATTTTTGCTTATCAAATCGGTCCTTAAATTCTTAATTTACTCATTATCTGGAATAAAAGAATTTCATAAAATTTTGTGAAATTCATTTTGAAAATCTTGAAATGAAAAAAAAAACAAAGATTTCAATTTAAAAAATTTAATTCTATAAAATTAAATATAACTAAATAATATTCTACTAAAAAAGATAAATTTTCTAAATCAATTTCATAAAATTGAATAACTAAAAATTTTTGATTATCCATTTTGAAACAAGTTCTAATATATCCACACATTTAACTTGAAATAATTTAAGTTATAAGCAGTGGCATTGCAAGGTTCAAAAACTAGCAACTAAAATTATATTTTTAATATAAAAAGTTTATACATAAATAAAATTTTGAACTATATATTTTGGCATTATTTATCCAAGTTCAATGAAAAACAAAAAACAAAGTTATTACATCGTATGAAATAAATATAATTGACATTCATTAATTTGTTTCATAAAATTATTATGTGGAGTATATTTCAAAAAATAAAAGCAAACATATTCTTAATTTTGAATTAATTCTAAACATAATTATAAAAAATTTAATTGAATTATATGTTTTAAGTTAAACATGCAATATCAAACATTAAAAATTTATCCACAAATGAATTATATCAATAATTTGTTTATTGAATTCTACATTTTGAATTTATATATAATAAATGAACCATTAAACTCTCTCACAAAAGAAATTATATATTTTCACTATTTATAATTATTACTGTAATTAAATTTAAATAATATTATATCTTTATAAAGTAAAAAAGAATTTTATAATTTTTACTTATTTTTTATATTTATTTCTAAAAATAAAAATATTTTAAATATTAAACAGATAATTATAATTAGATTTAGGACACATTTTAATGATAAAGCAAATTTTTAAATAAATTCAAATGATTCGAATATTGTGTTTTATTCTATTCATTGTCAAATCTGATGCTATAAGCTATTAGGTAGTATGAATAATTAACTTAATTCATATATTTAGTCCAAATTTGGTAAAAAAAGAAAAAATTCTAGAAATTTTGACAAAACTCCGAATCCATTCCATTTTGAATTGAATTTAATACCATAGCTCATGTAAGCAGGTCGCTGAAGCTGAAGGAACTGAAGAAGGCTCTAACAAACTTTCAACGCTCTCAAGTCTAACTCACACCAAAAAGGCAAAAACAACCCACTTTCCATCCTCGCCTAAGCCACGATTAGCGCGTGTTCAGCACGCTCCCATTGCGATTTTATTTCTCCCTCAGCGATGCAGGGCCCATTATACAAAAAATAAACCCAAATCAAATGATGCGCATTGCGCACCCTGCCCGCTCTTTCGTACATTTCGCACACCATTTGTCTTCTCCAAAAAGATTTCTCTCATTTTACTCTGTTCGATCACAAGTTCCGCGAACCCTAGCTCTGACCAGAAGAAGGCCTGGAACGATCTTATCCTCTATTAAACCAATGGCGGATACAGAGAACGTTTCGACGGCTATATTAGCCGAAGAGGACTCGAAATTCGGCTTCACTCGACCGGAGATGTACACGAGCAATCTCGCCGGTACTGTGGGTCAGTACGACCGACACATGTTCCTCTGCTTCAAGAGCCCCGAAGAATGGCTTCCACGTGTTGAGGAATCCGAAACTGATCCCCTTCCTAAGCTTTTCTCTTCTGCTATCAAAGCTCGTAAAAACGATATAACTCTTAAGGTATTAATCATGATTAGGTTTGGTTATTGATTGATTGCGTTTTGTGTCTCTTTAGCTGAGCTTTTGCTTTTTCTTTTTTTAGACGAATTTTACAATATGCGAGGGACGCGAGGGGACTGAGTTTGAGAGCGGAGACGTGTTGATATTTCCTGATATGATCAAATACAAGTGAGTCTTCACCCTATTATTTAACTTCTCTGAGAAAATTTGAGATTGAGATTATGCTATATTTCACTGACGTGTTAGATTTTAAATACTGCTAAACTAGGAAGGTTAAGATTATGGTCTTGGACTTTCTCTGTTGAGTTTGAGATTGTACTTCTTTCTTTTCTTGAAATGGTTGGCCGCATGAAGATTTATGGAGAGTACAGTTTTGGATTTAGGACTAAATTTACATTTAGGCGAAGCTTAACCTCTAGATATTTTGATATTTTACTTTTCTTTTAAAAGAGGTTATTTTGTTTATGACGGCTGATTTTGATTTTTGGATCAGATACATGGCATGATTATTAGCAGTAAGATTTTGATTTTCAAGTGCTAGTGATTTCAGAATTATTCTGATTTGAGATTCTAATGATTTGTTGGAAATAATTAGATGTTAGAAGATGAGGTTGGGTTTTACACTTTTACTAATTGATATTTCTATTTCAAGTGTTAAGTTGTTTTTCTTTTTAGAAAATAATGAAAATTAAATTGATTATGCTTTGAGAGATAATGAGATTTTAATGTTGTTTGAGAACAGTAACTTGGCAATGAATAACATGGGTTTGCTTGTGTGCCATTTCTTTGAGTTTCAGCATGTGTTATTTTGTAAATTGTTGCATTCTGATAAATTTTCACAGCTTAATTTTAATATATTCAAATATTTGTTCTGAATTTTGATTTGAATGGATGTGATTTGAATTCATATTCAAAAATATATATTTCGATTCTGAGATTTTGCCATTTTATCAAAGGGGTTTGAAGGACTCAGATGTTGATGCTTTTGTTGATGAAGTGCTTGTGAATGGAAAGCCATGGGCTTCTGGGGTGCAGGAGGTGCTGTCTGGTTCATATGTCTTTGTGTGTGCTCATGCTAGTCGTGATAAAAGATGTGGCGTTTGTGGACCTGTTCTTATTGAAAAGCTCAAAGAGGGGACTGAATCTCGTGGACTGACAGATCAGGTGTTCGTTAGTGCATGCTCTCATATTGGGGGACATAAATATGCTGGGAACGTGATCATCTATAGTCCAGACTCAGAGGGGAAAGTTATGGGTCACTGGTAAGGTTTGATCCCCCATCCATGTGATTGTACCAACTAAAATGCAAGTTGATTATACTTTGTTCTTGCAGGTATGGCTATGTTACTCCTAATGATGTGCCTGAAATTCTGGATCAGCATATTGGAAGAGGAGAAGTGATACAACGGATTTGGAGGTTTGTATTTCTGTGTAACGCTTGTTCTGTTCACATGGAACGTCTTTATTTGGATGTTGCTGGTATAAATTATTTAATACTATTTTTATATAGTTTCAGGATTTGTGAACCATGTATGGATGCCTTTTCTTCTTTTTGCAGTGAATAATTATTTTACAGTATGTTGTTCTTTTGATTTTTTCCCTGCTCCTTCACCTTTGTTCCAAGCACAAAAATAATGTATTTTGTTAGCCATCAAGTGTTTTGGTGCTCAAACCTGTCTCTCAATCAAATCCACTCTTTTCTTCGGTTCTTTGATGAGAAGTTTTAACCTTGTTTCCACTATTTCACTTTAGGTTTACCTTTGTTTAGTCAAGTCCTTATCCAAAACTTTTCTATTGCTGTATAGTTAAAGTGGAAAAGGCATTGAAAGTGATAAGACATGATTGGGTTACTTGCATATGGCTTTCTTCTATACCAATAAGATGCTTGCAAGTATATGCTGGTTTCTTCCATGTGGTGAATTAGTTTACATTGTTTCTTGAACGTTTAGGTGTATATGCCATTCGCTGAAAACGATATGCCTCACATTTCATATGCAGATGTTATTACTTTTTTTTCGTATTCTTTAGCATCATTAGTACTTTGGGAGTATAGATTTACAATAATCAACTACAGGGGCCAAATGGGGGCATCTGCTGAAGAGGGTGAAAAAGTGGCCAAGGAAAAGCTTCCAAATGGAAAAGATGTGAAGGTGCGGAAGAAACGTGAAGAAAGCAACATTGAGGTCATTAAGGAGAATGTCAGTGGATGTTGCCAGGGTGCTAATGGCGTCTCATGCTGCAGAGATGGAAGTTCTGGAGTAAGTGAAGAAAAGAAGGTGGAGGGAAGCACTAAAGCATATGAAAAGAAGGGGCTAGGTGGTAAACTGTCAAGCTTGATTGCATCATTGGATCAAGGTGATGTTCTTGCAGCTTGTGCCGTGGTTGGAGCAGTTGCAACTATTGCACTGGCCTATAGCTTATATAAAAGGTCAGGCTGAAATATGCCTTTGTACACATTATATTAGTATTTGCTTGCGGGTGCACATGCCCTTGCTTTTTTGTAGGCAGATCCGGTGACACTGAAAATAATCATCCAAGCCACATCTTCGGAGACTGATACATATATGTTTTTGTTTTAAGGGTGGATATCTATCCAGAATTTGACAGGTAAGGATGAAACGTGATCCTCTCCATTTCTCGATTCCTAGACATTCTAAGAATGATGCAACATTTGGTTAATGTTCTTATTAGTCTGGAAATAGTTTCAATAACACTTGATTAAATTGGTTTCTGGTACATCGTTGCTACGATATTGTTCTATGACTAAATGTTGCTGGATTCTAACATATATCATGGATTGTTGTATTTATCTTGTTGGATAATATGGTAACTGTTATATGATATGGGGAGTCAACAACTATTTTGAGCATGGAAGCTGGTTGTGAAAGGGCCAGCAACGCCTGTGTAAATTATATTATCACTTGAATTTTGTAATATTTGGAAGTTAATGCGCCCCTGCCTCCCCTTAACAATCATGTAGTAAATCATATATTTGGATCGAGAATGTTTAATTCACTGCATATGAAATCTGGTCAATTGGTTTTGAATTCAATGATATAGACCATTTTTTTTTTCTTTTGGGTAACGGGTTTGATTTGTTTAAATATAACATGACAAGATTTATAATATGGCATCCCGTGTTATAAAAATTAGAGGTAATCTATGCACTAAAACTATGGAAACTAAGATCTGTTATAATATTATAAATATCAGGATCCAACCAGCCTGATGAAGAAAAAAAATAAACTATCCCACAATTTCCCCCAATTGAGTAAGAGAATACCTTGATCAACCCGATGGTATGAACAATCCCAATAGATCAAAACTTTCACCAATTCTGAAACAAGCAATTTTTTATTTCATGTACTAAGCTTTGCAATCATCTCCTCTACCAGTCTAAGCGTTGCTGTTCCCATAACACTTCTCTCTCCTTCTGCATCAATTTCCTGCATTATCTGTTCTATAGGCTTATGTTCCGATTGTTTTCCTCTCGACCCATACTCTTCGCAATTCCTTAGCAGCAACAACAATTCCTGAGCTGTATTCTTACCTCTCCTTGTTCCATCTACACTTAACTGAAGCAATCCTGGCATGACACCTTCCATTAAAATCAGTCCTCTATATTTATCTCGACAACTTTGGCATATTAAGAGCAGAATCACAGCTGCATGTTCTTTGCATTGCATAGAACCTTCTTCTATCGCCTCGACTAAAGCCCGCACAGCCCCGCCTGTACTCGCAGTTTGCAGCAATCCATTCTCTGATAAAGCAACAATATTTTCAAGCAACGCCATTGATTTCTCTACTAACAGTGACGATTTTTCATGTTCGTGAATCATTTGGAGTAATGCAAAAACGACGCCGGAAGAAATAATTGATGGAATGGTTTGATGACAAGTTGAGAGATTGTGTAGCGTTGATATTGCATCAAGCTTTGTTTGTATGCTAATTTCAATACTAATGTAATCTCCACTAAGGATTCCTGTAATGAGAGGTATTGCGCCGGAGAATGTGATTGGGAGTTTGTTTCCTGAGCAAGAAGAGACAGTTAATAAAGCTGCTATTACAAATTCCGTTAGCGTCTCGTTCTGCCATTGGAGAAGCTCTAACAATACAGGTACTGTTCCTGATCTCACTATCCGAATCTTGTTTCTGCAAAATTATCTAGAATTTTCAGAATTTGCTGATGAACTAAAATTTAATAGATTTCATAGAAATTGAAGAAGTAGATATTGAGAGTTAATCAATTTACCGTTCACTGCCAAAGGCAAGACTAAGCAAAGCCAAAAGAGAAGCTTCAATGGCTTCAAAATCTTGAGACCGAAGCATAGAAACCAAAGGGGAAATAATTCCTCTTTCGGCCAATTTATGCCTTTGCTTAGTACTAAATTTAGTAAGTTGAGTAGCAGCTTCAACCTGTGCTTCTCTTCCGCCATTGAAAAGACTCTGAACCACAAAATCCTCCATAGCAATAACTCCCTGTCTTGTTCTACTGCTAACAACAGAATATAATGTCTTATTGTTAGGCAGTAGTTAGTAGTGAAGAAGAAGAAGCAGATGTTATAGTTGTTGTTGATGGTGATATTGTGATTGCTCGAGGATGTGATGTTAATGTTAGGCTTTGGCTGAGGTTTTTTTGGGTATCCATTGTTTCATGTTGAAGCAAACTTCCTATTCTTTTTTTAAAGTTAGCTTTTTATTATTTTTAATTTTCTTTTATTGCAGATTTGGAAATATAATGACGATTCCTAAGAACTGAATATTTTACTTTCCTCTTACGGAAGCAAACGCTCTTAACTTTTTTTTTTTTTTTTTTTTTTTTTTTCCTATTTCTTTTTTTAAAGTTAGCTTTTTTTATTATTTTAATTTTCTTTTTATTGCAGGATTTGGAAAATAATGACGATTCCTAAAGAACTGAATATTTTACTTTCCTCTTACGGAAGCAAAACGCTCTTTAACATTTTTTTTTTTTTTTTTTTTTTTGAAAGGTTATTGTTTATTATTTATTTTTTTTTTTTTTTTTTTTTTTTTGAAAGGTATTGTTATTATTTATTATTATTATTATTAATATGCAAAGATTTTATATTAATAATAAATAATATGAGAGACAATCATATTATGGAAAGTGTGCCCCTTTCTTTTTTCGTTATTGTTATTATGTGTTATTATTAACGTTGGGCTAACGCCTATTTTTATTGACTATGCAACTTTTTTCTTCTTTTTTTTTTTCAAAAAAAAAAATAAAAAACATGTTTTTATTATTCTCAATAAAAACATGTTTTTATTGTTATTATGTTTTATTTTTATTAAAAATAGTCAAAATAATATTACGGATTATATAGAAAATACTTAAATTTAAAATAATTTTCCACTTTCTTCTTACATAAAATAGGAATATTAGTCTGATTAATAAAGTAAATTTTTTTCATAAGGATTTTTATATGGAATGACACACCATAGTAAAAAAATAATTACATGATTCATTTAAAAAAATTAAAGAATTTATAGGATTCAATTAATGTAGCGGTGGACCTTCATTAGGCATTAGCTCCCTATTTTTTTTTTTTTTCTAGAAATTTGTGTTACTTTTTTTTTTCTCTTAATTATCGGGAAATAAGAGTATTAAGCTTTACTGTCGAAGCTGTGAAGAAATTAAATAAATAGATTTGAGTCGGATCATTTTGTGTTGCGGAGGAATTAATTTACTATCGTATTAATTTATAAAATGATTTAAAAATAAGTTTAAGTCAAATATAATTGTTTTTTTTTTTTATGTCTTGTCACATAAGAAAATTGAATGTGGGAGAGGTATAGTTTTTTTGTTCACTCAAGATGATAAAGTTGAAAATCGACACATTTTTTGGAAATTTTTTTATGGGATTAAATAAAATGAGAATAATGTTGAATAAAAATGATAAAGTAAAGGAGAAATCTAGATTCACACTTCAACAAAGATTAAGATTGGCCTACCTCTCTTAATCCAAAGATGATAAAATGGAATAAATAATGAATAATCAATCTATCCATAATCTATTTAACCAACTTTTAATTTACAAAGCTAGCATATATATAAATGTGAGTCTAAGAATATTTTGGATTTGAATTGAAGTTAACCAATACCAATAGAGTCTTCACTTATGAGATTCCCAACATTTAAAAAAAAAAAAAAAAGAAAAATTTACAAGGAATCAAACTTAGCTTTTCCTTTGCCGCTATGCGGCTGCAATGGCATTGTCTTTAAGGAAATGCTTCTCAAATTTTTATAATGATTGATTGATTCCTGTTTGCTTGGGATATGATCCACACTTTTTCTTTCATCTTTTACATATATGTTTTTATTAACAGCAATCTTTACTCTTACTCATGCTTATTCTTTTTATCCATCCAAATTAATTAACATATTGCAACCTCTAAATTATGATTAATTGTTTTCTTGGATTAGTTTAACTGTTTAAACGCTTATAATTAAGGAGTGAGAACTCCAAAAGAGTAGCTCCTATGGTACAATCTTTTGGAACTTATGAAAATAGTAATTTTTTTAACTTAATATTATAATATTTTCTCATACTCATGTATTTTTATTTTGCCCCCTTATAATTTTTTTACTATATTAACTGATTTTAGTTAGAGATTTTATTATTTTATGTATAAAGATAATTTATGTAATTTGAATTCAACCAAATTTATTATTTACTTGTTATATATGTTTAAATTAATTGTTCATTGTATTGCTTTTTTTTTTTTTTATATATATATTTCATTATGTATTGTTATTTCATATATATATTATAGATGGTTAGAGTCTAACCAGGTTCAACTGAATTAAAAATTATAGAAGTAGATTATCTTATAATAAATGGCAGAGTATATAAAGTTCATATAGGTCTCACATAATTAATTTTTTACATTAAAAAATTAGTTGAAACATGGTTAGATTCTAACCATTTATGTTTTCTCTTTGCACATGTACAGGAACACATACAAAGACTTGTAACAATTACGTAAATAACTAAATGTAGAAACAAGAAGCAAAATCATACAACTAGATATTAAAAACATCTACAAGCTCCTTTAATTCAGTTCAAAAAAAAAAAAAAAATACAAGCTCCTCTAAGTTTATTATTATTATTATTATTTTTTTTTTTTTTTTTATTTTTTTTTTTTTTTTTGAGAGTAATCTCTAGAAGAGACATTTTCAATAGGATTTTAGTTTAAAGAAGCCAAATCTTTTAGAAACCTTAACCTTCAAAACCTTTGTTCCATATTATTATTTTTTTTTTTTTTTTTTTGAGAGTAATTCTCTAGAAAGAGACATTTCAAATGAGGATTTTAGTTTAAAGAAGCAAATCTTTTAGAAACCTTAACCTTCAAACCTTTGTCCATATAAAGGATGACAGAAATCTTAGGACTAATGTGATGGTCTTCCACAATTCGAAGAGAATAATTCCATAAAACAGCAGAAGCAACTGTTTTTAATTTTATAAAAGCCAAATCCTTACCCAGACAAGTTCTAGGTCCTGAGTTGAATGCTATAAACTTGTAAGATGGAAAATGTTTGATTCGTCCTTTCTCTGAAATCCATCTCTCTGGCCTGAATTCTAAGCAATCTTCTCCCCATATATCTTTCATTCTTCCCATCGAGTATAATGAATATAGAATCCTCATATTTTCAGGGACATGGTGCCCGCTTGGAAGAACATCTGGTTTAATGGACGTTTTATGCTCGAAAGGCACTGGTGGATACAGTCGAAGAACCTCGCATATAGTTGCATGAAGATAAACTAATTTCTTTAACTCTTCAAAATTGAAAAGCCTCCAATTATTACTCTCTCCTTGTAGATTTTCTTTAATCTCCTCTAGAATCTTTTTCTCTACAAGTGGGTGCTTTCCAACAAGCCAAAAGAGCCAAACAAGAGCAGCACCTATAGTATCTCTCCCTGCTGATAAGAGATTAAGAGCCAAATCTGCTAGAAACTTGTCTGATTTAGTAATTTCTTCTTGATCTTGATGATCATCTTTCATCAAGAAGAACGTTAACAAGTCAAAATCATTACTCTTTTGTTGGGCTAATTGCTTTTGCTTTCTCGTAATGCATTGTTGTAAAAAACCATCAAAAAGTCTCCATGCTTTCGTGAATTTCTTCTCTTCACCAATTTGAAGCCATCTCTGTAACTTCCAGACGCATCCTGGTAGAAGATGCCGGTAAAGAATAATCTCCTCGATTTCATCAAAAGCTTTCTCGAAAGCAACTTCATGTGATTCAGCACATAATGAAGTTGGATCAAACCCTAAAACCAAATGGCAAATATTATCAAATGTGAATCTTTGAATCACATCTTGCATGTCTACTTCACTTTCTAGTTTCGATGCATTATCAAGAACTAGAAAAAGGCCTTTCAAGATCTTCTGCTCCATGCTATTTTTCACGGCCAATTCAAATCTCTTGTCTTTAAGAAAAGAATGAACTATTCTTCTTTGAATTCTCCAACTATCGTTATCAGAATTGAAAATACCATTTCCAAGAGGTTCAAAAATCTCTTTGAACTCCTTGCCCTTATGATAATTTGGGAAGTTCCTGCTCAGAATGTAGTGGAGATTGATAGGATCACTAAGCAACAAAAAATCTGACCCACTAAACCAAATTCCTTTGAATAGAAACGTGCCTCCACTCTGCTCAAGAATAGAAGTTGTAAAATCATGGAGCTTAGATGCATGCCATAATATGTCTGGAATCATCCCTACCACAGGCCAATTCGTAATTATTGAATATCTTCTAATAATCCACAGACAAACTAAAACAAGAACAATCAAGAGAATATATTCTATAAGAATAGCCATTAAGTTACTATATGGGTCACTGTATATGCTAGTACAAGTTGTCAAGCAAGATTTTTATAGGTGAAACTTAAAAAATTGCGTCAGGAAATTTGCATGTTGATATAGAAGCAGAAAAGAAGCCTGCGCGAACGTGGTGCATAACAAGTTTAACGGAAGTTTGGCCAATTCTTGGAATTATTGGCATTAATTTAAAGTGAGGATACATAAATTTTGCCTATATTTAAGTTGAACTTGAGCATGCTTAATTGATTGTTTTCCTCTTCAGCTGTATTATCAAACCTGTTAGAGTAGTTTCAGTTGAGATTTTGAATTTCTTATTTTTGAAACGAGATATTTCAGCTTCAGATATAGTATTATTTTCTTTTTTTTCCCATATACTTAGCATTTATTTGTGCGTTTTGCCTTTAATAATTATATGTTTAACACTTTGTCGCTATTAGTTCTGATTTCAGCTCTCATGCTGTGAAATGCTACATTTGTTCTATAGTATAAATCACATTTGTAATTTCAAGTTCCTTAAAAAAAATCTTTAAATTTATCCAAGTTATAATAATTATTGAGTAAATTGACTATATTACCCTTAACTTAATAATAATTTTCTAAGAAAAACATTAAATTGAAGTAACAATTATTGGTCATATACAAGGGGTAAATATGAAAAAAAAAAGTTATTACTCTTTGAAACCATAAATGTGATAAGTATTTTAAAACAAGTATTATGAAAGGAAAGTATTATGGATTTTAGGAGCAATATTAATTAAATTTGTTAAAAATGTTTAATTTAATGGAACGTATTATTTTTCTTTCTTTTATTTATTGGATGTTAAAAGTGGCCTATATACTCAATAACATTCACCATTTTTTTTTTTTTTACTTTTGTTCATTGAGGCTAAGTGGATAACTGTCTTCTTGGAAATACTCACTAAGTTGGTGAAATTTCACCTTCCACTATATACATCCTTACAAGATTATGAAAAAACCTATCTTCTTTTTATTTATTTATTTTATTCATGAGAAATTACTTAATGGGTCCAAATTCGTTGTATACAGCAAAATGTAATTAATTGTTAAAATATATTTAACTGATATGCATTTTGGATTCTCCTTTCATGGATTGAGTTGCATTGGATAAGTTTACAATTTACTTTTGTTTTTTCCTGAGAATAAGTCGATTTTTCGAGGAATGTTAAAGGCACATCATTTTTCCATAGGTAAAGGCTCAATTTACTTAACTTGGCATAATATACAATTTGTTTAAAAAATTAATTTTTTTACAAATTACCTCTTGAATTTGCACAAAAAAATAAAATACCCTATTATTAAGAAAAAAAAAAATTTTATATAGTTTTAACTAACAAAAATTACTTTAAAATTTTAAAATTAGAAAATAAAATATTATTTAATAATATAATAAAAATGATTAAAAAATTTACAGTATTTGATTTAAAAATAATTTAACAATTATTTGATTTAAAAATTATAGAATTAGAAAAAGATATGATTATATTGAAATATTTGGTTAGATAAAATATTTATTATTTATTATTTGAATTATTTTTTAATTATAATTGATTTAGATTAAATATTTTTTTTAGAAATATAATTCATTAATAATAAAATCAATTACAAATATTGAACTACACCAGATATAGAATTTACTATCATAATTAATAGAAATTCGTTGATCCTTCAAAAAAAAAAAAAAATCTATATTCTTTTGAATAATAAAACTAAAACTAAAAGAAACAATATTGGGTTTTTCCACTTGAAGATAACCTTGACCGATATAAATCTTTATAGTAGCAACTGATCATTTAATTAGATTTGAACGACAAAATAATTTTTTCGGATCTTCCATGCTTAGATTGCTTTTCCAAAAACTTGTGTAGGACATACATGAATGAGTTCAAGCTATTATATATAATAGTATAAATGGAGGAACATGTCGCAATACGTAATAATATAAATGAAGGAACATGTCGCACTACCACAATCTAGTGATCGAAGATATTCATCAGTAAAATAAGATCTAAATTCTCAAACCAAATAAAATCAAATATCATACCTTTTAAGAATAAACCTTCATAAAAAAGGAACTAAACCCTCACAAAAGAAGGACAAAAAAAACTCCAAATATGGAGACAAAACAACAATAACAAAAAAAAAAAGAATCTATTAAAAGAAAATAGATATGGGTTTATTAAAAACGAATAAAAAAATTAGAAGCAAGAAGAAAAAAGAAAAGTAGTAAGTGCATTTTGATTTAGATTAAAAACGAATTTGATTTAGATTAAATAGTTGATTACTTTTTAATTATATTTGATTTATATCACATAATTTATTTTTTGCGATAAAAATTGGACATTTTGCATTTTAAGTGCAAGGACAAGGGGTAAATTATATAAAAAGTTAATTTTTTTTGGCAAATTGAGACCCATTCCTTTTTCCACATCCAAAATAATTATCCAACTTTAAATTTTTTCCGAAAGGTTTGTTTACTAAAATCATTTTAGAAAGTAAGTCATGAATGTTATATTCTAATTATTGAACTGCGTTAAAAGTGTTACAGATTCAAATTTTGATATTTTGAATATAACATGAACGTTTTATTTTTTTTATTCTAAAGGGTAAGAAAATTATGTTTCCATAAAAAAAACAACCGGATTAATCTCTTTTTTCTAAATCTTCTTCGCATGTAAAATATTTCGCATGGAAAAATTCTTGTCAAAGTGTAATGGATATTCATAGATTAAATGTTAATCTTTTACAAAATTTATATTTACTCAATCAGTTATAGATCGATTTACATGTTTATCAAATTAAAAATTTATCTAATTAACGATTTACTGGTATAAATATTGATAAGACAAAACTAATAACTTTTTTCTGTCAACTGCAAATAGTTAAAATATAAAGGGTGCCCTAACTTAATACAGGGACCGGGGAGGAAGAGGTTTATAATGCATGAGAAAATTACTCATAAAATTCTCAATTTAGAAAAAAAAAAAAAATGTATGATATTTTTCCTCTACAGACATAAACATTAAGTTCACTAAGATAAGCATTATAAAAAATAAAAAACAAAAAAATTAGCATGTACTTCTTTTGGCTGATTAATTATTAATTCATTCAAGTAAATCACTATCTCTGTGTGTGTGTGTGTTATGGTTTTATATTCATATTTGTTGGATGTACTTGGTTTTGAAAAGATGAAACCTAATTCAAGAACACAGAATAATATATTTTTAAGCACAGTAGTTTTGGATCTCAATTTTTAGGTTCAAAAAAATATATTAATTTAATTGATATGAGGACTTGGATTGGCACCAACAGCTACAAACAGTTTATAAAAAAAAAAATAAAATGAAGAAAACATAAATTAAGAAATTTCGATGGATAATAATTTTATGATAATTTAGCTTCTGATCAAATTTAAGAAAATTAAAACAAATGGAGAAAAATAAAAATAAAAAACCAACGAAAGAATCAAATAAATATACATATATACATAATATTATTTTAAGTTTACTCGAATTTTAAATCTAAAATTTTTAGACTCATTGAATTGTGAATGGAGCCCAGCTTCAACTTTCTGCTCCATTTATTTAGACTCCTAAATTTGCTGACCCGTCATGGAATGTTTCCTTGCATAGTATAGATTCCAAATATCCATATTTGGATGTGAATGAATAGATTTGGCCATTGCTAAAAGTACTTCAATAAATATGCATCCGCTAGCCTATGCTAAAAACTAATATATATAAGTTATAAATGCAGGTGATCCACCACTTTCAATTTTCAGTTAGTGGAGTAAATACACTTCTATTAATATTTTCTAATAATTCAAATAATTTTATAAAAAATATTTGTTTTTTTAGTAAAAAGTAATGACTTAACCATAAATGTTAAAAATCAATTATAAAAGACAGCTCATTACAAAATAAGACGTAAATTTTATTAAAAATCTTCAAAACTATTACTTTTTAATGTAACTAGTCTTTTTTTATGACATGCTTCACATGTTGACTATACTCGTTATATACTTATTTTTTACATTATTTTAATTTTTTGTATCTATATAATCTTAAAGTATAAATTTTTGTTCAGATTAAAATAAATATAATTGTTTAATTTGTATTGTACTTTATCTTTAAAAACTACTTATAATACTTATGTACTTAATTTATTTTTATATAATGATAACTTATTTTTTACATTATTTTTAATTTTTTTTTATTTTCTTGTAATTTTTTCTTATATTATTAATTTTTTTCTAAAGTATAAATTTTTGTTCAGATTAAAATAAAATAAAATAAATATAATTGTTTAATTTGTATTGTACTTTATCTTTAAAAACTACTTATAATACTTATGTACTTAATTTATTTTTATATAATGAAAGTGGTTTTAAAATAAACTTCAATCTCACCTCTAAACTTAATCATTCAGTCCCTGATGTATAAATATAGACTCTTAAAATTCTAATAGGTGTCCAAAAAGAAAATCAAGTAATTACTCAATCTTTAATCCCTCACCCTCAACCCCAAATCAATATTTATATACAAATGTAATGAAAATTAATAATAAATTATTTTTTACTGCTCAGTAAAAAAAAAAAATGAGAAGATGATATGAATTGATAATAGTAATCACTTTGGCTATAGAAGTAATATTACTTACTCAGTACATTAGAGAAAAAAATATATCTATATACACACAGAAATATATAATTATAGTTTTTTTCCAGTTTCATAAACACTATTTTCTTTCAAATCAAATATATTTAGAATATAAGAGAAAAAATATTAAGAAAATTAAAAATGGTTAATCATCAAGAGACCATCTATTTATTTCAAGAAAGATATAAATCTATTACTAAATTAAAGTGATAGTAGTTAAATATTATTTCAATAATGAAAAAGAAAATTAAAAAAACTCATTATTAAGAATAAAACTCTTTTCAGAGCTCAACATTTAATAAGAAACAATTTATATTAGAAAATTTTCGATTTGA